CGGCAGTAAACCCATTAGGTTCTACTGCACTGGGAGTATGAGCACGTTCCGCTAGAGTTTTCCAGATGTTTTATGACACTAGTACAAATAATTATGAGCAGGAAAGTTTTGAAGTCTTAAATACAATTTTCATGACATTACTTGTCAGATATTTTATTGCCTTACTAAACGGAGTCTCTTATTCTCAAACATAGTGAAATTGATTTTTCATTCGATCTAATTTAGTCATTTACTTATAATGATATTTTGCTGTGAAGTTATAGCTTCAGTTGGTTTTATCAAATTCAGATTTATTACTTATTGAAATGATATATGAATATTTATCCGATAATCTTCATTCTGAGGATGATGTGATTCGTCTATTATATTCATCCTTTGCAAATAACTTAAATGTTGTTGCTAATTTTAAATTCTTCGGAAGATATAGATAGTCAGGTATTTTCGGGGAGTTCATCGTTTCTTCGCAGTTATAACTGGTACTTTATGTAATTTTTACTACTTGTTTGCATCGGTGATGTCCTTCCTAATTTATCGATCATGACAGTGGTTTTCTGTGGGCTTGCTTGCAGTTTCCTTGTAAATTCATCAATGATCAGTGTAGTTTCAAAGCCGTTGTCAATAAGAAGCTTTGATATATAACATATCGAGCTTGATATATAGTAGATTGTGATTTTACTGTAATCACTGCGGTGTTCAGCAAGGTCGTTGATTGTCTTCTCTTGGGTGAGTTGTAGTTTCCGATCTAGTCATCTGATGTTACAGATCACAGTATCTTTGAGCGGAATACAAAGTGGGAGAGGTATGAGCGCGTGAAACATTGTTTTGTAAACATTGGCCACAGGACTCAAAGAATGCTTCTAGCCGAAAAACTCTGATATACGACTATAACTTCAAGAAGTAATAACAAATGAACCCGACAATGCTATGCCCAATTGACGTCATGAAAAATAGCGGCATAGTAACAGCCACCGATGCGCTATCGGCGCATCGAGTTGGTCCGAGAATATTTAAGGAGCTGCACGTGCCGTTCTCGATTTCTTACTCGTTCAGTCAAGCACTCATCAAGATCGGATCGCCATTGTACAAATCGACTCCAGCTCAATGGAAGTCACGCTCATTCGGCCATCCAACGCTGCTACAGAGATCGATTCCAATCCGTACGTAACGCTATTACACACGTCCCTGCGTACTATCAATGCAACTGAGATCGACCTCAACGCACGTAAGTTACGCTATTACACACTTTCTTACGGATCACTAATACACGGCTTCCGTCAACTAAGTAAGCAGCACCACTAACACACGGTATACAGTGCGAGGAATCCTCCCACCCGTCAAGCAGTGACGTGACACGGACATCCTCCCTCCCTCAGACCGCTACAGCTCATCTCGCCAGCGGCAACGTTAGCATCATCGCTGCCCCTTATCAGCGCGAATCTCCCACTACCACCACTAGTTCATAACTACGAGTAGGAGAATCAAGCAGCAAGCTACCAAGAATACACTTACAGGATTCTTGTCGCTCATATTAATTGAAGAAACTCTCATCTATTCATTGTATCATACATTCATTTCGATATTCATAGATTATTAACTATTCGTTATTTATTATATTTTATAAAAGAAAAGACTATAAACATTAAAGGCAGTATTGAATAATCGCATTGCCCCTTCCATTTGCCAGCAAGCCTCCACCCACCATCATAAGCAGGTTTTTAGTCTGATCCCAGACAGGTGTGTAATCATGAGACTGGCGTTTTCGGATGGATGACTCCTTTTATCGTGTAATAGAGTATATAGCAGGCTAATTTACCTTTTCACCTTGTCTTAATAACCTCACCTTGGTTTTGAGGAACGTTCTTAATTGATCTAATCGTGGATAGGTGGTACATGTCCCGAGTGAAGCTTCCCATGGCTCTACGATGGCACGGTCAAAGTAAAGTGAGATTTGATGTGCCAATATATAATTCCATAAATCTGGCAGTACATTCAAGGAGAGGTGCTTGATTGCTTATTCTGATCTTTTGACTAGATTTTCTAAAGTGTCTGCATCACCCTTTATTGTTTTTACTGGAGGAAATAGTTTAAGAAGGCCAGAACGGATTGAAAGACGTTGGTTCTTGTACTGCTTCAGTAGCTCCCATGCTGGTGACAATGATTCGTTTGTCAGTGGGAGACCTTTTATTAATGGTAAAGTTCTCTCGTCTAAAGAGGTCCAGAGGTAATTTAACTTATCAACCTGAGAGATGTCATTGTTTTTTAGAACGAGTGCAGTGAAAAGATCGCTAAGGGCATCCCAATCTTCTTGTTTTCCGGAAAATTTAGGGAGTTTAAGCACTGGTAAACAGCTTCCGGATGTTTTTATTAATGGTGCTACAGCCTGGTGCTCATTGCATTCGACCATGTATTGTTGGCGAAGCGCGCTGATGATACCTCTAGTGGTAGTGTATTGAACTGTTTCTCTGGTAAAAGCATCTGATGAAAGATATTCGTGATCTTCTTCATTCGCTGGCCAGATGATCTCTAAATAAGCGTGTTCCTCAGCAAAGGCCTTGTGAATTTCCTCTGCCACAGAGTATGAGTCCGAGAGTTCCTCTACTGTGACGTTGGATCGCGGTGTGACATATTGTTCAGCGAGGGTCTGTGATAGATTAATGCGCTTAAAATGTGTTTTTATTTTCATTGAAAATTCATTGTTTATTTGTGATGATGTGGCGCTGCTAAGAGTTTTAGCTTTTATTGATCTGGTTGCCTTTGGTGTCTTGGTGCCCTTGACATTCGTTGTGGCGTCAAGTATTATGTTAATTCTTTTTCCTCTGTATCTGGCAGACCTGATTTTTGTAATTTTGCTGATGTTTGAATGTGCGTGATGAGTCACCGCTAATGCGTGAGGAGCCACCGCTAATGTGTGAGGAGCCGCTGGAAATGCTTGAGGCAGACCTGATGTTTGCAGGTCCGGCTTGACAATTGAATATTCTGTATGGTGATGAGATTGTCCGGCTCGAAGGACCAAATTTTCAACTTTTAGTGTTTTATTTTTATGGCTCGAACTGCCAATTCAATAGTTCAGTGGGTTAATCTCTCGCCATAATGAATTAAGAAAAAAGAATGCACAAATGAAATGATAAAAGTATAATGTAATATATTTAAAGTCCATTATAAATTATTTGCTTATATTACAAATATAGTGTACAACAATAATTTTTTTGAAGTATGTATATATGTTATTTTACTAAGAACATTATTTATTTAGTAGAACAATTCTATGAAAAAATAAATGTAAATCAACACATAAATAAATATTCAATTACAATGTTATTACATCATGTATTTTGTTGATTTTAGTTTTCAGTTTATAAGAAAAAATAAAAAAATAATCAACATTCATGTGAAATAAAATCTATTTTTTAATATATTTATATCTGTATATTTATATCTTAATGTATTTATATTATTCTTTATAGGAGCATTACGCTTCTGAATTTGGTAAAGTATATGACAATTCATTGCCTATAAATAATGATGTCAAGCAAAATTCATCGGTTATAAAAACATACAATTTCAACAAAATGCCTGTAACATACACTTGGAGTAATCTTAATGTGTATTATACTTTAAAAAATAACAATGTATGGAACCAATTTTTTAATAAACGTAATGAAATATGTTATCAAAAACATATTTTAAAGAACGGTAAGTATAAATTATCAAAATAATATACACATTTAAATTGTAGCTTTGATTGTCTGGAGTTTTTATTTATTATTCTGGTGTATTCTGTCATATTAAATGGTTTTCAAATTACAATTTTCACTTGATTGGATAATAAGCATTTACTCTATTGTAATATATTAATATATAATTGAACAGAAATAAAAGTTATTTATTGTTATTACAATAATTTATAAGTATTCTTAATTAACGAACAAGTAAAATAAGTAAAATAATTTAAAAATTAAATGTTTAATATAAATGCGTTTTATATGTGAAAATTGAAATGACTAGATTAGATTGTCAAAATTTTTTTGACAATTATCTGCATATGTATCTGGGATCAGACTGAGAACATCCCGGTGATGTTAGGTGAAGGTGTTGCTGTATATCTTGGTTTTCTTTTATTAAATACAATAATATAATAATGGTTAATGGTTATAGATGTGTATGAATAGTGAGTATGAGTGACTTAAATGTATGAAGTTTCTTTAGTAATTTTGCGTGCTGATGAGATTGTGTTATATCTTAGTAGCATGAGGCGTGAATCTTTTCTTCCTTGAGAAGTGTCACGTTCTGGTCGTAAGGAACGTGCGTAGCCGCCGTTGCTGTTTCGATGAAGTTGTGGGAACCGTAGCTGTTCTGGCGTATATGATGAGCCTTTGCTTATGTAGCCGTTGCTACTTATGTGCGCATAAGCCGCCGCTGTTGTAGTCGGCGCTTACTAAAGGAGCGTGTGAGACGCTGCTGCTTTATTCGTTGCTTGTGTATCTATATTGAGATCCGTTGATATGTGTTTGAGTTATACTTCCGCTAAATTCACTCTTGATTTATGCTTGCACTAGCGCTTCTAAAATATAAGTTTAACGTATTTTGATCGCGTCGCTATTGGTTATTTGATTGCTTGTTAATTGATGATTAAATACTTGTATAGCTACAGTGAGTGATAACTGTAGGCTGAATGCTTGAAGATAGAAATAGTGAGCCCATCGTGGTGACTGCGTCATTGTTACGAGTACAGTGCGCTGCACGTCCAACGCTGCTCTTAAATATTCACGTAGCAGCTTGCGGAATTGACGTCAGTAGGATATAGCCTTGGAAAGTTCATCGGCATTCTATGCAGAAATATAATCGTATATTCGAGTTCATGGCGTAGGAAATTTCCCGAATTCGCTAAATTGTGTTTATAAACACAAGCGTCCGGGAGCTCGTATCCTTTCCAATTTTTAATTCTGCTTCAACTGCTTCAATCCCGAAGAGTATGATTAATCTTTTAAAAGTGATAATATAATAATAAATAGCAAACTTTTTCCGAATTAGAAATAATGCAGCATTAGAAATGACACTGTAATCTATATAAAATAATTTTAAAATGTGTGTAGTAGATATTTAATAAATGTTTGTTTAAATAAAATAAAATAAATATATGCAGATTTCTCAATAATGAATGAACTGATTGTATATCTAATTATGTTTTCGAATTTGATCTTTATATTTAGTTTGATACATGTACGTATAAATTTATACTTTTATAGTCATATTAGGGATAAGATAAAAATAGTGTAAATATTGAAATTATAAATAATAAGTTAAGTGATAACGGAAGAATCTTTGATAATAATTGTGCAAGTGCATAAATTTGTTACTTTTAATTTGATAAACAAAAGAGTAATATAAATTAAGAAATATAACCATAAAACCATATTTAATAAGAAAGTGAAACAATGATATTTTCAATTAAATATATACTTTTTTAGAAACAAACATTCAAAAGATTTTGACCTAGATATTCAAAATAAAAAATTACTATTAGCAGCTGTTATAGTTGTAGACATAAAGAATATATAATAGATTTTATAAAAATAAAAAAATTATAAACATTAATTACTAGATTATAAAAATTCGTATAAATTTCGAACAAAAAAGGAATTAATTCTTATAAATGATTTGCTATATAAAATTATTCGATAAACCTAATAAAAATAGAAATTAATTTTCTATTTTAATTCATAGTTTGCATGATAGTTTTTGGCATTTCAATTCTTTTTGTTATTGATACTTACTCGGTATAATTTCATGTTTACTTATTAAATTTCTCTAATGTATTTATATATAAATACATATCATCTTATGTATTTATTTTTACAGTTTCGGGAATCGCTTATCCTGGAGAATTATTAGTTATAATGGGTTCTTCAGGGGCAGGAAAAACTACTTTATTAGATGCTTTAACCTATCAACATAAAACTGAAGTTGTTATGTCTGGAAATATAACGATAAATGGAAAACGAGTAAATTCTAGTATGTTAACCTCTCAAATGGCATATGTTCAACAACATGATTTATTTATAGGTACATTAACAGTAAAGGAACATCTTATATTTCAAGCTTTGGTACGCATGGATAAAAAAATACCATATTATCAGCGAATTCAACGAGTAAATGAAATTATATCTGAGGTTATTAAAAATTATTAATATTAATCAATATTATAATATATTTATTAATTTTTTTTTATTCCTTTTTAGTTGTAATACTATAAAATACTTGTTTAGTATTAATAGGATTAAGTTCTGATTTATGACTAAGTATATAATAATTAAAACTAACAAGAAAAAATCTTCTTAGAATAGTTTGATCTTTAATCATTTAGTGCTTGAATTATCTACTCTGAAATGATAAAAGTAGAAATATTTTCAAATAAACTTATCTAATTGTAAACTGTAGTAACAATAAATAAATTGAAATAGATATCCTATATCATATTGTTATTCAAATAAAATAAAATAAAAATTTATAGATTAATGTCAAGGATAGATACAAAAGATAATTTATTAAAAATAAGAATATATATGTATATATTTCTTTGTAGATGATGAAATAGTTATAAATAAATATTTTTAATGGATAACATAACTAAAATCATGCAATTCTAGATCTTTTATCCATAAGTAGTGTTTATTATTATTTCTATATTTTATATTATTTTAAATGATTAAAGTAATAATTATGTGTAAAATATATCTATGCATTAAATAAAAAACTTCAATTTTAACTATACTAATCAAAATTATGACTATGTACATGTTTTGTTTAATTTATTTTTATATAGATATTGGTTATCAAAAGATTTCAAATTCTATTCTCATACATAAATTTTGAACTTAATTAAAGTTACTTGGGGAAACACACAGTTTAAATGTTAAAAACACCTTTAATAATAAAAAATATAGATTATTATTGGTTATAATATCATAAAATACATTCAATTAGACTCAAAATTAACGCATAATAAATAAAAAGTGAGTATATTAGTTATACCATTACATACAATAAATATGTTAGCTATGTAAGTGAATATATACCGTTATAGGGAGTCTTAATGCCTAAATTATTTTAAATCATTCATAGAGAATGTGAAGATATCTATTTGTTATTTGTTATAACTCATAATACATTGATAAAGAAAATTAAAAAGATTTGGAAGAATTTGAATGATAGTTTGATCTAAAATGAGTATACTCAATTCCATACGTTTATGTAATTATGATTCTTTCTATATGCACATATTATACAAGTATATAATTTATTATTCCAGAAAATTATCATTAGTAATAAATCCTCTAATATTGGCTTTTCCAAATTCATCTGTATTAATACTGCATTTATGATAATTTTTTTTTTAACACTTGACTTATTAATTCATTAATATAGAAAAGAATTCTTATTCAGAAAATGGTAATTCGATTGTTAAACTTGAGCTATTTTTTTATTGCTGTGTGTAAATTATATTTATTTACAAGACAATTATTGTGGAGTAAAATACTTTCATTGATTTGCATGAGTCCTTATCATCGTAAATCATGCTACAGACTATAGGACAGTATATATCCTTACAGTTAGACGATTTTGAGTTATCATGATCTGGTCCTCTGTAAGTAGTGATGATAAAATTTAACTCACCACGTATTGTATAAAATACTTTAAAATACTAAAGCATTTTTAAAAATGGACATGTAGTTCTTATTTAGTAATATCATGATTGCTGTTGTAAAAGGGTAGATAATTCTTAATTGAAAACCGAGTGAATACAAAATATTTATTAATTTATATAATATATATAGTATTTATGTAATATCTATATTATAATCTAATTACTGCTTAACTTTGTTTGAAACTTTAATAATATAATTTTACAATTATATTAACTAAGTAATAACTTATTCATTTTTGTGTAGTACTATATATTCTATCTTATTTAAGTCAATATGTAAACTATATATTTTATCGTGTTCGTTTTTATTTGAACTATGTTATTTAGTGTGTTCGGAAAATAATCCCACAATTTGACTAGTCAGCCAAATGTGCAATAATTAACGTAGCACAATAAAACCCACTAGATGTTATGTGGGGTTGCCGGGCAAGTAAAGGGTGAATGTACCGATTAATAATTAACACATGTCTTTATTATTTCTATTTATTTGAATTGATTTACAAAAGGGTGAATTACAGACGAACTTTATATTTCTTGATAATCTTGTGGTGTTGAAATATATTTACTATGAATGAAGCAGGTTATAATCTATTGAATATTATCGCTAAGAGGTTATCATGATTGTAGTGCTCTGATCAAACACTGGAATGCCATTGTGTTTATCTCAATACGTGTGTAGTTGCCTTTAAATATCGGTCGTAAGAGAGCCGAGATGGAGCGCAAATTATTCTTAATTTTAGACTGAAAATTTGTTATTGCTTGATTCGAAATTTATCTTATCAATTTAAAAAAATATCAACAAATATTGACATTTCTTATTGGCTTTTTATTTTATGTTATAAAAATTACTTCAAACTATTATTCAATTATTAAATATTATTTTACTATCAGATATTATTTGCTTCATGCTTTTCTTCATTAGGATAATTGACATTGTCCTTATTGCGATATAATTTTTTCTGTTAAATAATTAAAATACACAACGGATTAATAATATATCTTAATAATAAATGTGATACACAAATATAGCAAGCTTTGCAATTATCTACACATCCAATTAAAAAATTTTTCTCTACAATGTTATCTTGCTTCTTTCATTTCTCTTACCCATTAAAATAAAGAAAAATAAGATTTTTATTAAATTGTGGATCGTGTGCGTTAGCTGTTATATAAATTTCGTGCTCCGAAAAATCATTTTATTTCAGCTTATAACGAATATTCATTAGATATATGATTCCTTTGCCTTTCAAGGAACCTTCAAAATCCTTATTTATAACGTCTTTACCTCTATCACTATCTAGCATTGTTTTATATTGTATTTTAATTACGTTTCAATCACTAATTGCTCTGCTTTCAATCATTTTGGTTCTTGAAAAACCGAAAAACTTTGATAAACTATCGGTGAAAGTAAAATGTTGTTTCTTGATGAGGTATTTCAACTCGTCACACATAAAATTCGAATTCATCATAAATTATTAGTGTTATAAAATTAAATTTAATATTTGAATTTTTCTGAAAATTTTTGAAGTACTTATTGCCATGACGATTAATTTATTTTCCATAATATTTAAGTATTTAAATTATTAGCATTTTATTTCGATTAACTATCATATTGAAATTCCAGTTTTTTGTTATTTGAACATGTGTGTGTGTATGCGCGCGCGCGCGCGTGTGCATACATATAACGGTAGTCGAAATCCGTAGCTTTAATCATATTATTGCATGTGAATAAATATCGGTTCCCGTTATCTGAACCGAAAAATCTTTTCCTATTTAGCAGTTACTTTAAGTAAAAATAAATTTTATTTTAAGCTTTAAATATATAATCTACTTTTTTTTAATAATAATATTTCGTCTAAAGTTATCATCTCGCATACTTTGAATAATTTTAAAAATAATTTTTAGCAATGTGTTCTAAAGAATTATTGTTAGTTTATAGGAACGAATTGAAAAGAAAAATAGGCATAAAGAACTAGTTGATAATAGATATATTTTAATATTAAAATTTAAATACAAAATAGATTGAATTTGATCATGTTCACATTTTGTGTAATCCCTATTCCAACATGATTTTCTTGAGAGTATAGAATTTTAAGAAGTTAATACGAATATTTAAAATATCTATAAAACTAAATACATGTGTTATAAATTAGCTCTATTGTTTATATACGATTGTGTAATCATATTTTGTCAATCATTTGTATCAATCAAAAACAGATATTTTTAGATAATAGAATAAGTATAAATGATTCTATGGTTTTACTAAAACAATATTTAAGTAAGAGGGCTATTTGCTTTGAATACAGACTATGTATATGTTATGAAATAATGTTATGTTATTAGTGATATTAAACGGCGAAGTTTGCTTATTGCTTCTTGCTAAATATATCTGGAATTGTTTTCCAATTATATTTGATTCGACTTTATTCGCGTCTGGACTATTTAATAAAATTAATTATTGTAAAATTATAAATGTTCTTTCTATATAGCAGTGTAATACTTTACAAACACTTTAATAACAATTTATTTATTTTAAATGTAATTATAAGAATAAATATTTAAATATAAATAGTTAATAAAAAATTGAATATGTAGTATTTCAATTTGTATTAAATTGTTCTTATTTTATATTAATTAACCATATAAAATTAGCAATTAACAGATTTATATTTGAATGAAGATTTCAATTATTTGAAAAAAGTAATTTCAGAAAGAATATAAAAAATTGTATTTGTATCTCAATGAAAAAAACAAAGAAATTGAAATGTTTAATACATGCAATAGCACGTAACAATATAATATCGAATTAATATGCAACAAAATTAAATATGTAATATGAATGTTCGATGAAAACCTATTATTATTATAATATTATTATATTATAACTATTATTATTAATATGTTAAAAGAAACATTAAATTAATTATATTGAACATTAAATTGAATAATTTGAATACATTTTAGAATATATAATTAAATTTCAAACGTATTTATAGAATATTATAAATTATATATAATTTATTTATAATACTTCATGAATTAAAGAAATTGTATAATTTCTTAGCTAGCGTTGATTAATTGTCAAAATACAGTAATTGGTATACCTGGTAGACTAAAAGGCATATCTGGAGGTGAAATGAAAAGATTATCCTTTGCTTCAGAAGTTTTAACTGATCCACCACTAATGTTATGTGATGAACCAACTTCTGGTCTTGATTCATGTGTGGCTCATCAAGTAATTACCGTTTTGAAAAATCTTGCTGGTTTGTTGTTACATTGCTACTATATTATTTTGTATATTAATTTTAACTTAATATATACTTTATTTATATAAACTAGATAAAATCCAGATAAATAAATTAATTACTTTGCTTTTTTATTTCACTTCATTCCACCAAAGACTTTCCCCTATCGACTAATAAATATCTAAGAATACGATGAATACGTAAAAATTATTATGAAATCGTGTTTTTACAATTTTATTATAATGTCAAATAAATAGAGATCTAAATAACTTTTTTTTATTCTTCTTGTAATTATATAATAATTTAAAAAATTATGTTTTATATATCTAGTTTACTGAAAAAGGGGATAATAACTTTTATTTTCTCAAATTTATAGAAAAAAATATATATAATGAAAAAATTCATTTTTAAACAAATAATTCAACTGTCAATTTTTTTATATTATAAATATAATTGTTAATATAAATATTTCTAATATTACTTATAACAAATTTTTTATTTAATCTATTATGACTTAATTTAAAATCAAAAAAGATTGCTGAATATTATAAAAGGTAAGACCTGCTATTTTTGTATTTTTTATAATAAAGTAATAAAGAGATAAAATTTTAGAATTTTAAATACATGTATCAGTCCGCTGGCTTATTTTATAAATTTTTTGCTTATAATTCTAATTATAGATATCCAAATATTAAATAATCATATTATATAGGTAATTTTAATTTTTCAAAATTACTTGTGTAGTTGAATCAAATTATTTAAAAAATCTCTATCACATAATAGAAAAAAACTTTAATATTTATCAATTTAATAAATTAATTTAATATTAAATATCAAAAGTATATATTTTCGTTAATTTACAATAATTTAAAAAGATTTTATTTACAAAAGAAATTTATAACATTCTTATTGAAAATCGAATATTTAAACTATTATTTATGAAAATATAATACTACAATTTGTTAACAAAATTTACTTGTTCAAATTAAATATATTATCAATTCTGAATTTTAAGAAGAATAAAAAGATATATAAAATATGCAAATATTTAATGTATAATATGTGTTCAGAATTGGAGCATTTATTCGAGGCCTTCGGTTCTCGGAAAGTTTACCTTTTCTTACGCTGATTTCCCGATTAACCAAAAGCTAGAATTTTCGAACGTTCTACAAGGCTCTTCTTAGCCTTTGTGTAGCAACGTCGATCGAATTTTCGAATTTTCCAAGGTTTGCATTCACCGAATTCTCGATCTTTCCGAAGGTTACTTAGTCTCAAACGATTACATTACGATTTGCTTTCTCTGAATTCTCAAATAGCCAAAAGTTTGGATTCTCGACCGTTTCCGAAGGCTGTTTAGCCTCGAATGATTACATTTGCTTTCGTCGAATTCTCGAATAGCCGAAGGCTTGTTTCGAGTTAGTTTTAGTTGATGCGCTAATATTTAAGGAAGCGCGCATCAAGACTACACGTAGTTTACATAAAGCAGTCGTAGTGTCGGTAGTCAGAAAGTGCACAGTATCAGTTCTACCTCACAGTCAGTCATCTACACCCAAGCCACGCTATCACACAGAGTCTACAACAAGGAGAAGGACACGCAACACGCATCGACTTTTCTTGCTGATCTTGACAACGTCGGCATAGAACCGTAGATACTTCTAACAAGCTATATTCCCCTTCAGGGAATATACAAAATCCATTGCTTATTCCCATAACATCATCAACGACATCGCCACCATTACCAAGGAGAAACCATATCATTATAATAGAATAATTCCTTCTCTCACAAGAAGTGAACATAGAATTACAATAACGTAATTGCCAATAAACCAAAATAAACGATGTCCGAAAATAAACGATGTTACACATTGTACATATTTACAGCGCTTCCATATGTGTCCGTTTCTAATCATCACTACGGCGAAATACTAATAAACTGAACTATTGAATTTGGCAGTTCGAGCCAGAAACTAAACTTTCAAACAATATGTAAATATGTAAGATATATTAAATATATGAAATAAAAATGAATCTTATTGTTTATATTTATTGAATGAGAAAATTGAAGTATAAAACTCATCTACTTTCATTCTTATTCTATACAGATAAAGGAAAAACAATAATTACAACAATGCATCAACCATCAACTGAGTTATTTAATATGTTTAATAAGATATTACTAATTGCCGAAGGTCGCGTAGCATTTATGGGAACTAGTGAAGAGGCTTATACCTTCTTTAAATCGTAAGTAAATCCGTTTATAATGAATGTAGTAGAGTAAATGTTTTATTTTAATCATTTTTTAAATCATATTGTACACTATTTAATTTACTTAAAAAAATGTTTTAGACTATTTATGTATTATTACCTTAAAAATATTATCTATTGGTCATTAGTTATATCAAATTTTAATTAAAAAAACTGTATTAAATTTTTCTTAATCACATTAATCAATTTAAGACATTCTTTCTCTATGCTCAAAATATATTAAAAATATATGACAAATAGAAGCTATCTTTTATATTTATTATAATTTTATTAATTATAATTTTTTATTAAAATTTCAATAAAAAAAAATTTTTTTTTAATTTATATTAATTTTTTTATTAGTATTTATTGTATGTTATTTAGATATTATTATTTTTATATTTAAACTTTTATTTATGTAGTATGTCTTTTTATATAAAAAACGGTTATACATTTAAAGAATTATGTAAAAGTTTCATTAAATGATAATTATTTTAATTAGTCGCATTTTAAAACTGTAAATGAAATTAAACGACCAATCAAATATTGATGAATATTTATATCATACAGTTTTAAAAAATAATTATTTGTGTAAATAATATCGACAGAACATCCATGTCTGGGATCAGACTAAAAACCTCCCTTTGATGGTGGGTGGAGGTGTTGCTGGCAAGTGGAAGGGGCAATACAATTATTCAATAATACATGCACTATCCCTTGTATTTCCTTAATTAAATATAATAATATAATAAATAGTTAGATAAAAGTAAGAGTCGATGCAGTTGTAGTATGGGTGAGAGCCGCCGCTGTCGTACCGAACCATCTAAGTGAGACCGGGTCGCTGCTGCTTTAGTATCGGTGCGTTTATAGTTTAGATGTAATATCACCGGTTATAGCCGGTGTTTTCTTGTACAACTTCTGCCCTTCGCGGGAGTTCTGCGATCCAATATCTGCTCTTTTAGCCGGTGTTTTCTCTTACACCTTCAATCGTTCGCGGGAGCTTCGCGATTTAATAAATGCCAATTCAATAAATGCATATCGCGACAAGTGTATTCACAGTTTCAGAACCGTAGTAGGCTGGGTCTTTTGCGCCTTCAATATATAGTTTCTCCTTCTATTAAATTCACAAAAATTCATGTCTTACGTAATTATGTGATGAGTGTGTAGGTGGTGCACTTCTAGTTTAATATTCATTATTGAAATACAATCAGTACTATTGACTGGTCAGCTATGGCGCACTTGAATAGTGTTCGGAATTGGAGCATTTTGTTTGAGGCCTTCAGTTCTAGGCATGTTTACATTTTCTCACATTTATTTCCCAATTATCTAAAAGCAGAATTCTCGAACGTTCTACAAGGCTGCTTAGTCTTCGCGTAGCAACGTCGATTGAATTCTCGAATCTTTCAAGATTTGCTTTCGCCGAATTCTCAAGTAGCCGAAAGCTTGGATTTCCGGTCATTTCTGAAGGCTGCTCGACCCTGAACGATTGCGTTATTTTCACCGAATTCTCGCATAGCCGAAAGCTCATTTCGAGCTAAAACTAGTTGCCGCGCATATACTTAAGACAGCGCGCGACAAGACTCCACGTACTCAACATAAAGCAGTCATCTAGTACGTAGTGTTGGTAGTTATAAAGTGCCAGTATTCAGTTATTCATTCAAACCAGTCATCTACGTCCAAGCCACGCTATTGTACAGAGTCTTTGCCAGGAAAAGGTCAAGCAATACACACTCATTCAACGCAACTATTGCAAGGAATGCTCGTTCACTTCTCTAGTGCACCAAGACAAGAATCCGACAAGGTCTGACTGCCGTTCTAGAAAATACTCGACTATACAAATCATGGTATCTATACTTCTACTTTCGAAGGTATATCATCTGTCTTTATTGCAAATAACTATACTCACAGAGACATTAACATACTCCCCTTATGAGTGTTACCTGATGAGCATGGTCGATTCTTCTTGTTGACCTTTACAACGTCAGCATAGAACCCAATAAGCCATATTCCCCTTCAGGGATTATACAAAATCCATTTCTGATCCCCATAACATCATCAACGACATCGCCATCATTACCAAGAAGCAACCACATCATTGTATTGGAATAATTCCCTCTCTCCCACAAGAAGTGAACATAGAACTACAATATTGTAATTCTTAATAAAACAGAATAAAAGATATCTTAAAAGGAAGTTACACATTGTACATATTTACAGCCCTTCTACGTGTGTTCTTTCCTAAGCATCGCTACGGTGAGAGACTAAGAAACTGAACTAGTGAATTTGGCAGTTCGAGCCACAGACTAAACTTTCGAACATTTAGTCCTTCGAGTCGGATTTTCGAACATTTAGTCCTTCGAGTCGGATTTTCGAACTTTTGGTCCTTCACGTCGGATATCCAGGCTTTCAAACATTTGATCCGTCGAACCGGATTTTCGAATTTTTGGTCCTTCAAGCCGGATATCCGGACTTTCGAACAAATAGTTTTACATAATTATTGTGTCACTGTTGGTTTACTAGCTTATTATTGCATTGTCTGTCAAAATTATGTGCGTATATTGTAAGCTAGCTGATTGACAGATATACGGCGGAGTTTAGTGGCTGTGTGAGTATGCTGTGATAACTGATTAATTGAGAAATACTGTGAGTAATAACAGATGCGAATGATAGATAAAAATACAGTGAGTCCCAGTACGTGGCGTGCTGCTCTTAAATATTCGCGTGGCAGCTTACAATGCTGGCAACAGTGCTTGGGCTTGTTACTAGGCTGATAGTCTTTATGACGTCAGAACGAAGCTCCAGAATGTTCGCGAAGACTAGAAGAACACTGCCTTGAAATTTTATATAATTTCAAAAAACACTTTTGAGAATTACGAAATATTTGTAAATACTTGATTCAACACACATATCTAGAATATTAATCTTATAGAAAAAGTATGGTAAATGATCAAATTAAAAAAATATTTATTTAAAATTCTTAATTTTTTTTTTTAAGAAAATGTGAACTAAAGTCTGATTTATTTACAACTTATTATATGTTGAGTAATCCACTATACAGGTATACTCTTAAAAAATACTTTAAATAAGTTTTTATAATTAATTTTTAACTAAACCATCGAAAGGAATTCATCCTGATCTGTTGAGTCGTAAGCATAGAGAATACTCTAATCACACTTGCTCTCATTTGTTATTGAATAGTGGTATTTCCATCGTATTACTCCTATATGGATTTCGGTAATTTATCGCCATAAAATTGTAATCAATTTTATTCAATTTATCAATATTCTATTCAGGGTGTGTTATAAATATAAATATATACAAAGTAAATTTTTATAACTTCAATTATTTACTTTCATTCAATTATAGTGAAAGTTAAATATAATTTAATGATAATAAATATAAATAATATGACATTACTTATTTTTATTATATAATTTATTTAATAAGTTTTAATTTATTACTTTAATTGTATTGAATCTATTATAAAAAAAAACAATTATATTATTTTTAGACAAATGATTATACTGTAACCTTTATTCCTTTCTTTTCTCGTACTTTTCCTGAGATGCGTATATATTTTTTATTAAATTTTAATTGTATTAAAATAATCTTACAAAAACTATTATTTTTTAAATAAAATTTAAATATTTTACATATTATTCCTGGTACCTAAACCATTCACAAAACTATTTTCAATTCAACTAAAGCATTTTTTATTTTATTTAAAGAACCTTTAGTATTAAAAAAATGATAATAAAAACTTTATAAAAGTATTACAAATTAAGTCAAAAATATTAAATGTTATATTGTTTTATAAATACTTAATAAGATAATTAAATAAATAATATTTATAAGAGAATATTTATAATATATGAATAGTTGTGAAGTATCTTTACTACTATATTATAAAAATATAAATTTATTCTAGGATTCATATATATGAATTATACGAATTATTAATAATCACACTATTTCAGAATTGGTGCTTTATGTCCAAATAATTACAACCCTGCTGATTTTTTTATTCAACTATTGGCAATTATTCCTGGAAAAGAAAATATCTGTAAATATACTGTAAATACTGTGTGTGATAAGTATGAAAACAGTGATACTGGCATACAGATTTCATTTAAAATAAAAAGAATTAATGCGTTTGAAAATGATACGCACCAAAAGAATATTTGTGTATTAAACAAAAAATTACGATATAAAGTGAATTGGTTCCAACAGTTTCGAGCTGTTCTATGGAGATCATGGATATCAGTAATTAAAGAACCAATTTTAATTAAAGTTCGGTTACTACAAACAATCGTGAGTATATTATAACAGTATAATTTTGTATTATTTATGTAATATGAACAAGGTTTATAAAATATACAACAAAAATTAATCTATATTATTATATAATAAAAAGGCTAAAACTTATTTTTATTCTTTATATTAGTATTGCGTATAATATATGTCATTATTCAATATATTTAAAATATAATGATTTTAGATTATTGGTAATGTTTTGCTATATTCTTGATATGTATTCAACATAGATTATTTTAAAATAGATTGCGGTTCGGTGAAAGAACTTTCAAGCTTTTTCAATCACCTTTAAGAAAGATACTGAAATTTAATAATTAACAATAATAGATAATTTATTTATTAATATTGTTACGGATTGAAAATTTTGAAAAGCGGAATATTAAAGTGGGAGAGGTATGGACGCGTGATTCAGTTATTTAAATAAAACAATAGTAACGAACCCTCCAGGCTATCCTCTGTTGACGTCATGACTATTATCGTCATGGCAACAAACACTGGCGGTTAAGGAATAGTGCGATAATATTTAAGGGCTGCGCTTCATGCGCAGCAACCAGTCTTTGCCTCAGTCTAGCAACAATTACACAGTCATTATAACAAGCGCACTATTCATCGTCAAGCTTCTCTCTACTGTTGCCACACACTGTAGTAGTATACATACGTAATAATCAAATAAGTAAACAATCTAACAAAGAAATAGTGACGCTATATTATCAATCCGTTAAACTAAACTTAAACTAATAACGCGCTAGTGCAAACATAAAACAAGAGTGAAAACATCAAATTCATACTACATATATTAACGGATTATACCGACGCATAATACATCGGCGTCGGCTCTAATACATAATACAAATAGCGGCGGCTCTAACGCATACTACTACTAAGGCAGCTCATACATTAGACCGACACATGATACATAAGATGCGGCTCTAACGCATACTATAATAGCACCTATTCCTTATACCACGGAAAGGATTCATCAACACGTAAGAAAATAGAAGAAACTTCATATATTTATTCAATCATAGCATCATTCATATACTTCATGATCATTAATTATTTATGATATTATATTTAATAAAAGGAAAAACAAGAAACACTACAAGTAGTTTTGAATATTTACATTGTCCCTTACACTTACCAGCAACACCTCCACCCAACATCAAACGGAGGTTTTTAGTCTAATCCCAGACAAATATATTGAATAAAGGAAACATAAAAAATTATAATAAGTATATAGCTTGACCATTGTTTAAGTCAAATTCAACCATTATAAAGATCGTATTTATCATTTTGCACTTATTAAATTTAAATAGTTAATTTGTACCCATAATAATTTTAAGGGTTTTATCTACTACTGTTGTTTCTAATTGAAGCAGTTAAAGGTGGAATACATAAATAGGAGAGGTATATGCTCCCGAACATTTACGGTATAAATACAATTCAGCGAATTCGGGAAATTTCACTATGCAGAATACTCGAATATTTTATTCTAATTCCGACTAACAATGCTGAAGAACTCTCCAAGGCTATATCCTAGTGACGTCAGCATAATGATCGGCATAGTAAGAGACACCGGTGCGCTATCGGCGTCATCAAGCTCGTACGAAAATATTTAAGAGCAGTGTTCGACGCGCAGCGGAGTAGTGCAAAATACTAATCATACATTCCCCAGACGAGCTCACTATTGGAACTGCAAGCGGTACCTATGCAAGCATCATTTAATGAATCTATTCACGTACGTAGAGCTTCAAGCAATTCAGGGAACCAATTGTGGAAACTGTTCTAGATTGCGAGACCTTTTTTCAATACAATATAACATCTGGCAAAACAACATCGTAAAATTTGTGTTTAAATTTCAAAACTTTCTTGCTTGCAACTATCTAGCAATAGTGTCATAAAACATCTGAAAAAATAATACAATAAACTCGGAAAAACCCACTCAGATAGGCATATGTACAAATTCGCTCTGCTCGGTAATTACTTCAGGCATTCTATCGAGCGGACCTACGCCCCCCTTCCCGCTGTCGACAAGTTGTCATGCTGTCGCCAGATGCGTCAGCGGCAACGAGAGCTCTTGGCATGAAGACCAAGAGACGACTAGGCCCTTAACTAACTATAAGGCCATAAGAGGCGCTGCACTCGCTCTGTAAGGGAGGAGTCTCTGATTGGACGAAGAATAAGGGAAGGGGTTCAAGTGAAATTGATGGTCAGCAAATGTATTTAAGGGGCGCATTTTTCAATATTCATCACTCTCGATATAACACTCTCGATACAGTACTTATTCAATTAAGAAGTGGAAAGTCTTTTATTAGCGTAGTTCAAGACAACTATCGTTACAAGTCCTATTGGCGGGAGACGAATTACCTTATCGAAGTCCAGACACGTTGGAAGTTTCCTATTAACGTAGTTCAATACAACTATAGTTACAAGTCCTATTGGCGGGCGACGCATTCCAACGACAAGTGTCCAGTGACAAGCCCCCTTGAAGAAAGAACAAGGAGGTTCCAATTTCAAATATATCAGCAGTCTTCGTACGTAATATTATTACAATAATTACATACTTTGAGATTCAGAGATTATGACATCGACAAGCAATTAAAGGCGAAGAAGCTCTCCCCAGAGCAACAGTGCCGAATAGATTCCAGTACGCGTCGTCAAGTGCACGCCCACTAAAAGGCGTCTTGTCGGCAACTCTCACCTTAGTTCAAGTTCGGATGCTTATGAAATTAAGCAACAAACAGCGCGAGTATCGACGAATTAAACTTCATGCCATTCTGCGGTAAAATTCAATCATTACGCTGCATCCATAACGTTAACCACACACGTGCTCATTCAAACAGCTCTAGTGTCGACGAACGAAACTTCGCGCAATTCTACATTCACATTCAAACCTTCAAGCTGCGTAGATGAGTATGCATTTGCCACCGCTAACACATCAATCCAACCCAAGAGTTTTCCAGAATTAAATAATAGTAATACTAGTCAACCTTGTCATCAATAAATAACAGAATAAACAGCATATACATTAGCCATACTTGTATTGTATTATTATAATATCCCTTCCACTTGTGACCTTTCATCGCTACCATACAATACCCGTGGTCTCTGAGTTGTCAAAGGCATCAATTTGTATCCTTCGAACCGGCCTTGGTAAAACAAGCCGGAACGGCAAATACATTTTGTACAGAAACCAATAGAGAACTAATATATCAGACGGGCTCACTATTCGACCTGCAAACGGTACCTCTACAAGCATCATTTAATACATTTATTCACGTAAGTAGAGCATCAAGTAATTCAGGGAACCAATAGTGGGAATCAATAAGGAACCAATAAGCTCTTACAGCCACGTAAGCAAGCACACGACCATTCCTTACAACCACACCAATACCGGCTCTCACGCCTATGTAAGCAGCAATGCAACACAGACGCTTCTTATCACTACTTCAACGGCAGCGGCACTCACGCTCACATAAGAGGCTAAGGCAGCTTCGGCTCACTCTCCCCTCCAGTGCACATCTACTACTATAGCGACTCGTCTTGTAAGGAGAAGGGATCGCGCCTCACTCTATCGAGAGTATACATACTGTCACCATTACGTAAACCAATTGAAGAAACTTCACCACATAATTCACTTACGATATCCATTATACACTTATGACTATTAACTAATTGTTATATTTATTATATTTAATAAAAGGAAAGACAAGAAACACTAAAGAAGTATTGAATAATTGTATTGCCTCTTCCACTTGCCGGCAACACCTCCACCCACCATCAAAGGGAGATTTTCAGTCTGATCCCAGACAACTGTTAATTACGAATTTTTACAAACCAATAGTTATATTCAAATAAGAATAATGACAATATTAATTATACTTAGATTTTAATCAGTATCTGTTGAGAACGACTAGTTTATTTTAAATCACAATAGAACGATCATTTTTAATAATTCTATTAAAGCTTTACAGTAAATTAAGACAAATTAAGAGTGGAAAATCTGGAAGACATGCCACTTTTTTTAATTGACTCATCGTTAGTGATACGTTTTCCGAAGTTGTTGTTGTTTTAGCTGACTCCTTTAGTCCACAACGTAATTTGTCGATGGCTGATTGTACAAGGGAGTAATGCATGAGTTATTCCCCTTGCGCATTCTTCGTGAAATATTTATGTTTTGTTAGCGCTGCCGGCCATTATGACTCGAAATAGCTTTGACCTTTATTAAATGCTTTGTGTAGCTCTTCAACCTGTTATCGTATGCCTAAGACTTTTTCCATAAAGATGTCCAAATGAGATGGCAGGAGCCTTTCCGCTATGTCCTTTATTGCTGTGATACGAATTCATTGACCTTCAGATTTCAGAATGAGCTCAGCGGGTAATCACGCAGTAGCAACACTGTCGGTCATGCGTTCCTCCTCTTCTTATGTAATAATTATATCAGGATTTGTAGGTTCTTCTGGTTTCTTCTTCTCGTGGTTCGGCAGTTTCTCAATGATGAAGCAGAAACGAGAAGAAAAAACAACGAAATACTTACTTCAGTGAGGAGATTCGTTGATACGTTATGACACAGTTACACTGTTGCGCTCTTATATAGCACTAATAGTGTTGCGACGGAATATAATCACAGTATGTAGCGGCACATCCTTCCTGATGGTTGAATACCGAAGGGATGCACTAACTTCCACTAATCCGGCTGGAAGGACTAAATGTTCAGAATTTCAGTCATCCGGTGGTCGAAGGACCATATTCACTATTTTACTGGTAGAAAAGTGTGGTTAAGTGCAGCGGTTAATGCTTCAATTCAGTATTCAACAAATTTGCTTTTCGTACTGTTTATTGAGTTTTATTTTACAACTACACAATTATGATTTTACGTTGATGATAAGAATCGTTGAGATCTTGCCGTTCATACGTGGTTTCCACGTGGTGGTAGCATACGCTACACATCGAGGTAGGAGGTCGTAAATCTCTGCCCACCTCTTACTGTAGTGCTACGTTGTGGTGTTTTAGTTGCGCATCTCCTCTTGATGTGTGGGAGGATAAAGAAATAGTTCAATACCTTAATGTGTCTTGGTAATGAGTGCTATGGCATTTATCTAGATACAGTGTGCAGTGACAGACTGCAGCGACAGAAGTGTTCCCTCAGAGGTGGCTCAAATAAGGCTTCTGCGGCGTCCCCGGTAAGAGAGAGAGCTATGACTTGTCGCGTGCTTGCTTTGTATCCATGCGACAGTTTAGTTAGCTGGCCACAATGGACAGGTGTTGCTATGTGGATATTTGTACCGGACTTCGAATCTAAGGCTTCAGAAGTTTTGAGAATTCTAGGAAAGCAAGCTTTAGAAGGTTGAAGAATTCCGACCGTTGTGGCTATACGGAGACTAGATAAACGTTACAGGACGTTCGCTAAGGCTTTAGAACGATCGAGAATATTCGGAATCAAATGTTTACGATTCTAGAGCTAGTAAGATTATAAAATTCCGAGAACTTTGGTTCTGGAAGGTGCTTCAATACTAAACATGTAATTTAAGCAAATATTACACGCAATAAAATATATAATTATTTTACAATTCATTCATTTAAGAAACCAAAAATTAAAACAAAAAAACTTCTACAAAAATTCAATTAATAAATTAATAACTATAATTGATGAAATATTATTAATACCAAAATTGTAATTAATGTAATATTTGAATATAAAATGAACTTCATAAATAAATACATAAATCTTGAGTATAAGTTTAATTCTGCACTTAACAGGTAATGCATGAAAAATATGAAAGAAATATACATCCTACCAAAATCTTGTAATGATTTCATTGCAGTTTCACTAGTAAGACTTAAAAGATACATACAGATGCTTTATACATTTAAAATCTGTACTTCGTGTTTATGTACTTATGTTTGACTGTTTTTCTTTTTTTTAATAATATATCTATACTAAGAAATAGTCTAACCAGAATTACTAACTAATGTTGCTGGACATCTTTTATCACTATTCTTCTTGTCATTTTCTTTCTATAATATTTAAATTGTCTTTTTCCATCTAAAAAAAATATATAAAAAAAATAAATAATATGATAAACTAAAGTTAAAGTAGTTTAAACAAAGAAAAGATAATTGTATTTAATAATATAAATACTTTTTATTGACTAAATAAGTTACTAATATTATATTTAAAAATCGCAAAAACCTTAAATAAAAGAATGCAATACATATTATATTAATATAGACAAAACTTTTGTATATTCTTCAGTTATTAATATAACAGTTAAATGTTGAATAATGACAACAAATTTAAATTAAAAGTTTTTTGTTTTAGATGGTTTCAATTTTAATAGGTATCATCTATTTAAATCAAAAATTAGATCAAGATGGAGTTATGAATATTAATGGAGCACTTTTTATTTTTCTTACAAATATGACATTCCAAAATGTATTTGCGGTAATAAATGTAAGTTCGCATAATTGTATTCCTTTGTCTATAATTCCTCTATCGAAATAAATATATTTAATAGCTTAATTTAACGTATTTTTTAAATCATATTTAGTTAATCGACAGACCTATAATAAAGATTAATCAATAGTAAATTTTATTATATTACTTATTCTTTAATATTTCAATATATATACTATAAAACGTAGATCGTTAAAATATTAAAAAGTTTTGTAATTTAAAAAAATTCATATTTAAAATTTTACAATAAAAAATGTTTTGTGTGAAATAATAAATTTAAACAAAAAAGCAAAAATTAATTATCAAACTTTTTAATAAATTTTTCATCTATTACAATTGACATTGTATAGGAATAGTATTATTTTAATGGAAAAAATAAAAATAAAATTTGGGTAATTAAATTACCCAATTTCATTTGGGTAAATTATTCTCAGGAAAATGTATTGTTGGAATTTTTAAACCAAGCTATTAAAAATTAAAAATTATTACGGTTATTAGAATATAAATTTTGTTGTCAATTTTCTTTACTACAATGTTGAGTCTTCTTTTTTCTCATTATAAAATTAATTTTTCACTATGAAAATTTTTTTAATTATTATAGTAAAGTAAATTTTTTATTATAATTTTTGTTATTCTAAATTTATTTTTATAGTAAAATAAATATTTTATTAGAATTTTTATTATTGCAAATTTAGAAAGTTTAATATAAGATAGAAATTGAAATAATATTAAATGAATAATAATCTCCCTCTCAATTTTACATAATTCTTCTGAAGATATGTATTTTTTATTTTCAGGTTTTTTGTTCTGAACTACCAATATTTTTACGTGAACATAGAAACGGAATTTATAGGGTTGATGTATACTTTTTATGCAAAACAATTGCTGAAGCACCTATTTTTATTGCAGTTCCAATTATTTTTACAATTATAACATATCCTATGATTGGTTTATATCCGAACATTCAACATTTTTTGGCGACAACTGGAATTATGATTCTAGTTGCAAATGTTTCGACATCATTCGGTAATTTTTTTAATTTTCACTATATAAATATTCTACTTTTCATTTTTAATAAAATATATTAGTATTTTATTTTTTAAAATTCCATATTTAGTAATAGAATTTTTATTTTGGATACTTGTTACGGATTACAGCAATTTTACGCGGTAAACAAAGTGGGAGAGGTAAAGTCACCTATGCTTAGTTAGAAACACTTGCGCGCCGAGTCATAAACAATTCCACGAACTCGGAAAGCCTCATCCCTCAAAATATTCGAATATTACATTACAATTCCGACTAACAAGGGCCGACGAACTCCCCAAGGCTAGACTCTAGTGATGTCACTCTACCAATCAGCATGACAAGAGTGATCCAGTAATCACCGGAATCGCAAGCCTGTACTAGGATACTTAAGGAAACGCACTTGACGCTCTTGCTCTCTTACTAGTTCAACCAAGCCCTCATCAAGATCGGATCGCCATTTTACAGATCGACTCCAGCTCAACGGAAGCCAAGCTCACTCGGCCTACCAACGTTGCTACAGAGATCGATTCCAATACGTACGTAACGCTATTACACACGTCCCTACGTACTATCAATGCCACTGAGATCGACCTCAACACACGTAAGCTATACTAAAGCAGCAGCGACCCGGTCTCACTTAGACGGTTCGGTACGACAGCGGCGGCTCTCACGCATACTACGACTGCATCAACTCTTACTATTATTTAACTATTTATTATATTATTATATTTAATAAAGGAAATACAAGAGATACTGCATGTATTATTGAATAATTGTATTGTCCCTACCAATTGCCAGCAAGCCTCCATCCACCATCAGAGGGAAGCTTTTAGTCTGATCCCAGACAATACTATTATTTAACTTATTCTATATGTTAATTTTGTTTTCATTATTTTTTTTTAATAAAGTCAATATTATTCTTCTATATTACTTTAACGATGAATGTCTGATTCAGGTGATATTTGAATGCACACCAATTTTTTTCATATAAGTATAAAACTATTTAAGTAGTACCACAATTTATTTAAAAACCTGAATTAGAACCTGAATAAGAAAATACAAAATGTATGTATATACAAAATGTATGGTCAACCAGTTTCTTCTATGTTTAATATAAATTATAAATTAATAATATACAATAATTAATATATTTATGTTTAAAATTTTTTTATTGTTTTTATGATTTTATTTCTGAAACATGATTTATGGTTATCTGTTTCAAATTACTTTTCATAAAAGAATTAATTTGAAAAATAATTACATTTTAATTATGAATATATTGCTTTATTAAATCTTGGAAAAATTCGTTTATATTAATTAATACAATATTAAAACAATGTGTTCAAAACTGTGTTGATTTCTTCGCTCAAACTGCCAATGTTTCGATAACTTTAATAATTTGCCTCCCGCCCTAGCAGATGCTTGGATGGGAGTCAAGTGGAAGGGTTGTAGAAATTTGTAGTATGTGTACACTTCGTTAACATAGTTTATTAATAGATACATTAGTAATAAACAGTATTCACTTCTCATAGAAGAGTGTAAACTTTGTCTTGTCGCAATGATGTGGTTACTCCTTGATGTTGACGATGTTGTAACGTCTGCTAATGCTGTAAGGATTAGCAAGAATATGTACACACTCCTAAAAGAACGTGTGTCGACTGAATGATTGGAAAGGAATACCTTGAGGTTTTGTTTCTTGTAGCCGGTTAGTTTCTTGTAATGCAGTCAGCACCCTCGACTGTTTGTAAGTTGTAGTACGCTTGATGCTCAAACGAGTATTCCTTGGAATGGCTTCACTGTTTTAAAGTTTCTAATTGAATAGTTTATTGCTGTAAACTTTAGCCGAGTGGCTTAATTACAAAGAGTGTAACTGAGTGACTGGTGTATGGCAGAAAGCACTGGCTGAATAGTGTAATTGAATAGCGTAATGACTGATAACTGATTGACTGAATAAATTACAGTGAACACCTAGGCGTAGCATGCTTCCTTTAAATATCCGCGCGGCAGCTTACTTTGCTGGCAACAATGCATAGGTAATGCAATGAGGGAATCATGACACGCGAAACTAAAGCTCTAGACGTTTCGAGAACTTGACGTTAATGCGATGTTACAATGCCAATACCATATAAACATTGTAGAGCATTTCAAAGTAAGGCTTTGGAATATTCGAGAATTCTCGGAATCGAATATTTATAAATTTTAATAGTTAGAAGGCTTATACTTTTCCGAAAGCCAAAGCCTCAGAAAATGCTTTAATTCCAAACACCATGAATATTTGAAATTAAATTTATAAAAACTTTTACCATTTAATCTAATTTTTAATTCTGACAATTCGATAGCAATTTATCGATTTCTTCCAGTCTTCTAATGTTCAACTTAAGAGATTTACACCAAATTAATTCTAATACAAAATATACTATAATTTGTCATAAACGAGACGGTAAAACAATATTTTTGATTCTTCAAAGGATTATTTATTTTTATATTATCTCTATTGTATTATTATTCACAAAAATTATTATATTTAATTTATAAATTATTAATTATATTACATTAATATGAAATATTCTCAATTATTATTAATTATATAATATTGAACTAAAATGTATAATTAATATCACATGTATATTTCTATAAATAATAATACTTTAAAAATTGTATACAGGTTATTTTATTTCATGTATTAGTAAGGATATATCGATGGCACTTTCTATTGGACCTCCAATTATTATACCATTTCTACTCTTTGGTGGATTTTTCTTAAATACTGCGTAAGTTAAAAAATATATTCACGATTTTATTTTGATGATAAAAAAAATTTTAATATATATTTGCACTCTATTTTTTAAAAATAAACGTATACATATTAGTGCCAAAATTACAATATAGTTTGTGCCATTATTATGTTGTGTGTTTATATACAATGATATACACGTTGCTAAAATAGAGCATAAAAACAGATAAATATTTATTAATAAGCAAGAAAGATTGTAAATTATAAAAAACAAAGTGTTACTTTAAAATAAAATCGGCTTTAAACATTAATACATTTAATATATTCCTTATTTCAATAAAACTTGCGTGAATTAAATATTCGTTCCCAAAGAACATTGTTTTGAATAAAAATTGTCCTAATATATAAATATATTTATTAATATGATTCATCGTTTGTTATGATGAATCCGGTTTATACATTTAAAGTCTGTATTTGTTAACCAAAATAAGTATAAACTAAGAATTTATCCTTGAGGAAATTAACACATATACAGATCAATATTATCATCGGTAATTAAATTGAGACAAAATTGATAAAAATCAAGATTTATTAATCCTTTCATTAATTCACGAAAGTATTTTTTGTGAGTCGCAGAGGAAAGTTATTTAATTTGATACAGTTATTTTTATAATTGTTGCACCTCACAGTATCTCACAGTATCTCAGTATGAATAATTATTAAGAACATGAAAAAGTAATCTTATCAAATGTTTTTTATGTGAGTAAATTCTACGATCACATAGAAAAATTGTATAACGTAAATAAGGTATCTGCATTTAATTATACAAATATTAACTATTAAATTAACTCCTATTTATATAGAATTATATATAGATAGGATTATAGGGATATATAGGGACTATAGAATTATATAGGATAGAAATATATCTTCATAGATATTTATTATATTATATTATATTTACAATAATAGTATATTTATGGATAATTTTAATAATTTCAATGATACATGTTTGATATAAATTATTATTCTTAAGCAATGATTTTAAAATCATGTTCAGAAATTATAGTCTTGCTTAAATGATCCTTTATTCAAATTTGATATATTAAATAATCCGTCATTCAATACAATGATTAAGAGAAGATCTTTAGGCATTACAGTATCATATTTTTAAGCATGAATGTATTTTTTCTATTCAAACTAAACCAAGAGCACATTTAGCCTTATGCTCATATTAATGAGATAAGTTTACAAAAGTTTTAGTAAATATATTTAAATGGTTGTACAAGATTCCCGAATATAATAGAACAAGAAAAAGGAAATAAAGAAATACATTAAAATTCTTAATCACCTGCCTATGAAACTTTTAAGATTCTTGTTAATGTATACGTATCTCCTGTCAAGCGTTTTTAAACTTTTGTGAAGCATTGATGCAAAGACCATTCAATATTAAGTTTAAAACAAAGAAAAGAACTTGAATTTATTTTAGGACTTTATAAATGAAATAAAAATTTTGTTAAAAGATTAAATAATATAACTTAAGGAAATAATATATTACTTTGGCTTAAATACTAGTATTTAAAATATAATAAGCAATTATAGTATAAAAATAATAATAGTTTCAATTTTGTTTGATAATTTTAGTATTTATTTGATTATAATTATTATTACAGATCAGTCCCTTTATATTTCAAATGGTTTTCTTACTTATCGTGGTTTCGATATGGTAACGAGGCTCTTTTAATCAATCAGTGGTCTGATGTTGATATGATTGCATGTACTAAAATTAATGTAACTTGTCCAAAATCTGGTTTAATGGTTCTTCAAACTCTTAATTTTAAAAAGGTAATAATTATTTATTCTTATTAGATTTATATTTTGCAATTATAAATTTGAAATCATTCTTTTACAGGACTATTTCTGGTTGGATATTTGCGCTTTACTTCTATTAATAATTATATTTCGCATAATAGCATTTTTAGCGCTTTTATCGAAAACTCTACGTAAACGTAAAATTATATAAAATATTGATACAAAAAATTTTAAACAAATGTACAACATAATAGAAACATAATTTTTATACATTTTTTACATTATGATTTTTGTATTACAAAACTTATATAAATATACATATAACACCAATTAGCTAAGAAATATATTTTATGCATCTATATATATGTTATAAGTAGAACATATAATTTTATATGATGTTTAACAATATATCTTAAATTTTTGTATCTATTTTGAAAAATATTACAAATCTAATGATTTATGGTAAATGTAAGTTATAAAATTTCTTAGAAGATATAGTATGATTAATAATAATTGTTTTCAATATAAATTACATAATTAGTTGAAACTTGAATTATCTTTACTTTTGAATATATATATTTTTGATGAACTATTATTAAAGATTTATTGACTTGTTTTAAATTTCTACTTAAATATGTTTATACTGAAATTAAAAATATATTTCCATACATTATTTTTATTACTTTACATTTAAGATTCAAATATAATTGAGTTAAACAATATAAATAGCTAAGGATCTCATTTCCTTCAGTTTTTTACTACTTGAATCAACAATTTTTGAAAGAATAGTTTTATTTATCATTTAACCGTATTTTCTAAGTTCCATTATCCATTAGGATCATTTAGAATATACATGCATAATTGAAAACAAATTTGGGTAGATTAGTAATTGATATTAAATAAAAAAATAATTAAGTAATTGTTAGTTGTTTAACTTATTTTGTAAAATTCTTAAAATTTTAGTTAAATATATAAAATTAAATAAAAACTGTAACAATTTTATTAAAATACATAAGTTTAATTTTATTTATTTTTAAATAAATAATTTTAAATAAATATTTTTAAATTTATTTTTAAATTTTATAAATAAAAATATTTTAAATCAGTATTTTGAGTAAGAATAGTATTTTTAGTTTTATATCATTTACGAATTTCTTTAACATGCATTTCTAATGTAAAAGTAATTAAGATCTCTCAAAAATAAACAAGTATTGATTTTTAAATGAGATACTTTTATTATGACATTAACAAGAAAAAAGATAACTGATAGTTTGGAGAAAATTTTTTTTCAGAAGGTGTTAATTCCAAATTAATCTATATGACTAAGTAATAGTATAGACTAATAATAAATACAATAAATGTAGTTATACTGTATTATTAAAATTTTAAATAATAAAAAGTTATTAAGTTGTCATATATGTTGATGTGATAAATAAAGGTAATTTTGGTACTAATAGCTGAAGATACAATAAATTTTGTTGATCTGATATGTGACACCATTTGGCATAATCATTGGGAATTTGTATACGTAAAGATTTAAAATTAATTTGAAATGATATTGAGTACATTAATGAATATACTTAGATTAAAATTTACTTATAATATTAATAATTAAAATTATAAATAATTCATAAAAACTTTATATCTTTATGAAAAAAATTGAAATGTTTGCTCTAATATCAACTTATAATTTTTTTTATGTTATAATAATATTTTTATTCTATAAAACTATTGTCATTTTAGTGAAAATACATCCTATAAATTATTAAATAAAAAATTATTAATAAATTTAATTGAGTATTATTGAAATGTTGTGATCATCTATTTTCTAATTTTTCACATAGTTTAAAATGTTTAGTAATAACAAATTTTACTTTATAAATTATAACTTTCAAATAATATCTACACTAATTTGTTTTTTCGAAAAAATTTCATTTATATTGTTAATTATATAACTGTTTTTAAGTATGATTTGCAAATAATTACTAATCAATGGATCAACATGTATATAATACAAGAATAAAATGTTCGATAGTAGTTGGAAAATAAATGTACAGTAATTGAAAATAAGAACATATAATAGATATAATTTTAGAGAATATATTTTAAACCAACAGTGCTAGTACGAATGCCTACAATTGGGAAACATATAATAGATATAATTTTAGAGAATACATTTTAAACCAACAGTGCTAGTACAAATGCCTACAATTGGGATACATATAATGTTAATCTTTTGGTCTTTACAAATGTGTACTTTAATATAGATTTATACGAAGTATTTACATTATTATAATACTTATAAAAGATTACTTTTCAATTAAATTTTAATATAATTAGAAGGAATTAGCTTTTCTATATTTCTTCAACATAGTTTAGTTTTATTTTTAATTGAGATTAATATTACAATCCTTACTTAACTTTTTTTAATTTAAAAGGTTAACAGCACTTATATGATAAGCTAATAAAATATTATAATAGTTTATTGTACATGTAACCAAAGCTAGTAATATTTAAAAAACACTGAATAAATCTACCCTTAGACTGTAAACTAAAGCTCATAGACTAAATTACCTACTCCACAGTTTATGAGTCATGCTGCTCCTATAAATCAACAGAGATTTTGTATACGTAAATCTGCTGATTACTGCACATTTGGTATTTATAAAAAAATTTTATAAATATTCTATTAAATCCATGATTTATATTTTATTAATTTATTATATTAATTTATATAAATTTTGAATTACTTTTACAATTGAAGCCACGCAATAGTAAGGTATAATTAAACGAAATTCATACAGTGGGCAATCTTAAGATGCGATTGAATAATTTACTATGTGTGAGCCTAAATAAGAATTAGTCCAAATAAGGGTATTGTACAAGAAACGGAAAACAATGGTAAAATAGTTTGATTAACATTTTCGATATAAAAATTAATTTCTTAGAAACATATCAATCGGTAAGCTCAATTCAGAAATAAATATAAAGTAAGCAAAGAGCAAACATTATATGAAAGGCAGAAATATCGTACCATAGATATATATATCTATATTTGTTAACTTATTTATTTATATATTTATTTATTTAATGCAATTGTTTTAAGATATCATTTTTTGTATTAAAGATGAAGTTAAATTTTAAGTAAACTACAAACATTTTGATTATATATTTTTCTCGAAATAAAATGTTTTCATATATATTTTTTCATACATAGATCTTGTCTTGTACACAGTTTTCTATATTTTATATATATATATTTAAATTCTTAAGTAACATTCTTGTTCCATCAGATTTTTTATAGTAATGATACATATTACATATGTTATTATAAAACATAAGTTTTGAATAAAGCATATAGATTTTTTTAATAAGAATTTTTCCATAATTTATAATTAATAATTCTTAAAAAATAAATATAAGTTATAATATTAAATTATAAATTTATTTATGAAGAAAGAGCAATTTAAATTAAAACAGAATTAGAATGAGCGATTTTAAATAGATTACCAGTTTTTTTAAACAGAATGTTATTACCTTAATCGAAATAATACATAAAGTACAACTACGAACTGTTACCGCAACCATAATAGGAAAATACATAATACCGTATTTCTTACTGCGTTAAATGTTTCTAAATAATAATTTCTATTAAGAAAAATTCTTTTAATTTTAGTTTTAAATGTAAAAGATTATTAATGTTTCGTGAAAAATAAATTATTAATATAAATAATCGTGCATTGATTATTAATTTCATTATATATTATGTTTGTAAATAAATATAATTTTTCAAATTACTGTGAATTAATATTTACTTTAATTTTATATTTTCAACAATGGCAGCAAATAATTTATATATTTTTGAGTAATTAAAAACGCTTTGTGATTAAATAAGAATTTGTGGTATTAACCTAATATTTGTTTAAATACTTTTGTTAATTTTGTTGAAACAACTATTTTTAGGAACATTGTTGATAGCACTATTGAGATTTAAATAATTACAAAAATAAATATGTACGATAGCATATCTGGCACTTAATATATGGATGATATAAGAATGAAATATTAAATTATATTTTGTATATTTTTTATTTAGCTATAATATAAAACAAAAATAATGTAATTATATATATTTATAAACATACTAAATATTAATTATAAATTGACTGAATAAAAGTAAGCAAATAAAATATGTCAAGTATACCACAAATGTCTAGTGGGCTTAGTAAACTAAAGAAAAAACATTTTCGTGTAAAACACCAAAAAGTTAAGGTATTTCGAGCTAATGAGCCATTACTCAGCATATACATGTGGGGTGTCAATCATACAGTAAGTTTTATAAATATATATATATATATATTTATATGAACCATACATGTATATTTACAATAATAAAAAATATTTGCATATAAAATTTAATGACAAATTTGGAAATTATACTTTTAGAAATAAAATTGAATTAGAATTAAATTTTAAATAATTAAAAATTTTATAATTATTTTTATATTTCAATCTAAATTTAAATTGTAATTTTTAGTTTATTTTACAATTAATTTTGTAGATATTCATTATATGGAATTTTTATTAAATAATTAAAACATATACATAAATTAAATGTGTATCAAATTACAATTATATTTAATTTAATAAAATTTATAAATGGTTGTTACATTTAAATATCTTTAAAATATTTTTAAACTACAATAACATTTTTCAATATTTCAAATATTAATCATTGAAAATTTTAATTATCTTTGATCCATAATAATTGTAAAACTTAATGTTGGTAGGATAAATATAATAAACGTTTCATTGGTTGGTACTTTTTGTTTAATAAGTAATGGAAATAATAAAAATATTTGCATAATTTTTATAAAATAAAAGGATATGTTTTCGTTTAAACATTTCGCACAAGATCTTAATAAAATCATAAATATTTTTGGTATTGCAACAATGATATTGAAGAGCAGACCTCTTGATAGCATTATATATCATACTTTATATGTGACAATAACGGCAACTCTAATTTGAAATTATTAAGTTAAGAAATAAAATAATAAATATTTGATTCATGAATAAAAAAATAAATAAAACTAATTGGAGTGAATGCATATATATTTATACCACAATATAATATTTTATTATAGGTAAACAATAACAATGTAATGTGGATATCAAGGATGTAATAGTATTTTATGTATTACACCCGTATATAGAATAAATCGTCAATAAATTCATCCATTTTTTTGATTACTAAGAACTCAAGTATAAAAAATTTGATCAAGTACTAATGACTGAAATGTATTTATAGTTATAAATATTCTGTACATAAAACTAGTCCATTTAAAACAAAAAGAATTGTTTGATTCAATTTAATGAAGTTATTTTTTCTCTTTTTATTCAATTATGTGATTTGATCGATGGAATTATTGTGGAAACTTGAATACAGTTAATTCCTAATTGCTTTGATTTTAGTTTGACTTTTCCCAATTATATTGAAATTATAATTTTTATTATTGTTTATTTTAATATATACTTTATTATGCATTCTTTAAAATAGTTAATTTTATTATTATTGTTCTAGTTGTATATTATATTATAAAATATTTTTATGAGTATATATAATTCCTATCTCAATATATTTACTTCTTAAAATTAATTTATTTCTATGAGTAAATATAATTTTTTTATAAATTATATGCATTACTTTAATCTTGCATTTGCTTGTGTACATTTTGTTCCGTATTTAGTTGTTTTAAATACATTTGATATTATACTATGAAAAATTTTATTAATTGCTTTTCTTATAAAAGTTTAATATAGATATTGATTATTTACTGTTAATACCTTTCAATGTGTGATTATTATAATTCTTCTATGTATCCTATATTCTAACAATTTGAAATAAATATATATATATAAAATCATATTTTTTGAAAAATGGAACATATAATTTATGTTCAAATTGTTGTGAAAATGTTATGAAATCTACGTATTAAGGTATAAAAATAAAGGCTTTATTATTAATTATTAATATGTTAATAAGTTTTGTATTAATAAGCCATATTTTAATAAGCTTTAGCTAAGCATAAATTTTAATCCGAAAAAAACCTTTATTTTAGAATAGACCAAAAATTTCAACATAAAAAAATTATATTTTATTTACTTAAAAAATACCAGTACGTATCCGCGAATATCATATATTATTTTGATAGATGTAAAAAATTAAGAAGTTTTTATTATCATTATCCTTTATTAGTTTTTAATATAAAAAATGATAAATAAATAAATAATAAACTTCTAAATTGCTTAAAACATTATCTAGCTTTCATTAAGAAATATTTTTATTATAATTTATATATTAAAATTATGGAAATAAAAAGGAAATATATTCAATATGTAAAATGAAATAAAAATTTCTTAATTGGAATTATTAAAAAGATTTGATTATTACTATTCTATTTCTATTACACTTTTAAGTTATTCTATATTTTTATTATTTAACCTACATAAATTTACAAATTTAAAAGTGAATCCATAAATAGCTAATTAAGTTTAGAATTGATTTCCATGACTTTTGTATGAATGGTATGTTTAAGATAATTTCTCTATCCGATCAATTTATACTACATGAAAAATGATGTTACAACTTTTTGCCTCGATATTGTGTGTTACATCATTTTTAGCATATACAATTGTTTAAAAACATCTAATTTTACTGTCTATGTGTCTATATATTATATATAAAAATACTTTCTTATTAATTACCCACGTTTATTTTATGAATTCTTTGTTTAAATTTATAAATTATTTTTCTCTATTATTTTTAACTAATTTTGATTTTCTGAATAATAATCGATTTCTTCATTCAGGCATAATATATTTAATTTTTCATATGAATATATCAATTGGTAATTTATTTATAAAATATTAATGTGTTTTTAGCCTTACGTTGATTTATATGTTAATTTTCTTAGCTTTAGTGTAGTACAATTTATATATGTTTTTAAATTATATTTTGGATTTAATCATAAATTTATGAAGTTGCCGAATAATGTTTTAGCGTAATTTATATTTAATACAATCTAACTTTCCTTTATACTAATTATATAATCATAATTAATAACATTTTTAATTATTTATATATATATATATATATATATATATATATACAATTTAACTTATTTAAATATATATAATATTTTAATTTTATATTTTAAGTTAAATTGTAAATCAATGATTATATTTGTTTCAGATAAATGAACTAAGCCACGTTAATATTCCAGTGATGTTATTACCGGATGATTTTAGAGCATACAGTAAATTGAAAGTTGATAATCATTTATTTAACAAGTAAGTTAAAATTATGAATATTAATATTTATGAAAGTTATTATTATATAAAATAATAAAATATATAATTGCTTTGCGTATTAAATGAATATTATTTGCTATGAAAGTATTTATATAAAATTTTAAAAATATAGAAAAAATTAAAAAAAAAAGTATTAAATTAACATTTTTAAAAAGTGAAGATGCTGGAATTCATAATTATAATAAATTACTATTTTAAATAAAATACCTGTTCAAAACTTAAGGGATAAGAAGTAATTTAGATGTATATTTTATATTTTAGTGCATTAAGTTTGCATATCTTATACAAAATTAATTTAGCTGTACAATAAAGTTCTTCGATCATTTTTCTAAGTATATAAAATATTTAAGAAATAAAAAATAAAATAAATGTTTTTTATTATAAATGGATATAAACAAATATATCAAGACATTTTATACTTATAGTATTTGTTAATTATAGACTTACTTGGATTATGTTTGTAAGTATGATAACATTTTGTCCAATCACAATACAATTAGTCCGAATTTGTTTATAAAAAATATTTAATATTTCTGTTTGTTAACTTTATTTGTTAATTAAATAATGTACATGATTTATTATACTATACCATAGAGTGAAAGCTATGTTTATGCAATAATCCATCGGTTAACATAATTAACACATTTTTTATTTTCATTAAATAAAATTTATTCTCATCTTTATTCTATTTAGCTTATTTGTTAAGATTAAGACGATGATAATTAATTTAAATATAATTATAAATGAATAACAATTATAAATATATTTATATATATATTATAAATATGTAAACCATTAAGTATTTCAGCTTTACTAAATAAAATTATATAATATAATTAAATTATAGTTATTATTAAAGTCGAATGTATTTGATTTAGGATAATATTAATTTCTTTTGTAGCACATTCTTCCCTTCAAAACTATTCCAATTTAAATTTCTATAACTATTTTTGTGTATTATAAGTTATTTGTTAATTTATGGTTTTACTTAATTCAATAAGTTATAATAAACATAATTAAATTAGAATAAGTAAAAATTCTTCAATTACTATTTGTAATATTAAAATCTAAAATTAAATATTGGAAAAGTTGATTATTGATAGATAATCTATATATAATATAAAAGCCTCTATTCAGATAATTGCCATGCTACGATACACTCTGCCACTTGATAATTCACTTGTTATTTATAAAATATTCAGGTATAATATTGTTCAAAAATAAATTTTTTGATAATTTTACAAGAGTAAATACTTAATAAATTGAATCTGCAAGTCACTCTATGTATAAAATTCAGCACTTTCAAATAAAATTAATTGAAAATTGATTTTTATTATACTAATGAATTATTTTTAATTTATATCACTGAAATTTACTAATTCAAACTTTATAAGTAACACGGTCGAAGTATACATTTATTTATTATAGTTCTATATAAGTATAACTATATCTTAAATTGAAAAATAAAAATAGTAATAGTTATCTTATATTATTGTTGTGTTAGAAATTTAAGATAATTATATTAAATGTAGAGATAGTTTGCTTATATAAAATAACTAATATTATGTACCGAACAAAACAAAAAAGGATGTTCCCATTTGAATATGAATTTTTTGTACAATTTAGATTTATGTTTGTAACCAAATACAATTTTGATTTACAAAAAAACATTTTTGCCTATTTTCTTTTTTTTTTTAAATTTGTGTATGAACCTTTATGGCACTTGAAGTTTTTATTGCTAGAATTATGCACTGTGGTATCAAGACAGTATTTTCAATTTCTCTTGTCAATGGTACGTACAACACTTGTAATTTAGTAATATTAAGATTCTACGTAGATAGCTTAGTAATACACAATAAATTTGATTTTTAATAGATAAATTACATGTACGAATTGTCAATAAAATGGATATTTAACTATCAATTTTCTTTATACATTTTTTTTTTTTAATATGTTATATTGAAATATATATTACTTTTCACTTTTGTATTTAAAAAATTATAGAATATAAATCTACTTATGGGTACATCCACGTATTTATGTTATATATTATCGAATTTCATTGCATGTTAATAATTATAAAACGTACAAAACATAAAATTTTAATTGTCAAAGATACTGATTAAACAATTGATGTATGTACTAATTAATGCTTCAGTGTTTTATACTATCAGCTACACTATTTTTAATTTATTACACATATTAATATATGTTGAGGATAATAAAAAATTCCATATATAATTCCGAATAAAGGAGTTTCATTTACAGTAAATAATTGTCTTAAAACAGAAATTACAGTATTGATTTCTTGTTATAATTCTTACCAATGTCCTAGCTTCATCTATCGATTAAAATTATGTTTATCATTAAAATGAATAAGATAAAAAAGTTTACAATATTTCATTATTCTAATTTTAAATAGTTCATATTGTCGTTTGTTAATCGTAATCATTTTAAACGTATGGTTTTCTTTCTACTATTTCAGATTATATAAAACGATTTCCTTTTTCATAAATTATAAAATATTATTTTTGTTTACAGGGAAAATATGCCATCTCATTTTAAAATAAAGGAATATTGCCCATTAGTTTTTAGAAATCTAAGAGAAAGATTTGGAATTGATGATTTGGATTATAAAGAATCTATGACAAGGTATAATATTATATAATTATAAATTATATATTAACTGCATTAATTGATACTAATTTATTTATATAATTTATATAATTAATTATATAGATAAATTTGTATACAATTTTTAATTATACATATCAGCATATGGTATTACTATAATTATCCACTTTTCTTTTAATATATTTTTTTTTTTTCTTTTTTATTTATAAAAATTTTTCTTCTATACATATGGTAATCATATCATATGATATCATGTATATTCTCTTATTACTAACAACTAAATACAAATTTTTTAATGAAATTATAATCTGCACTCGATTTACGTACCCTTTTATTATGTTGTTGCTATTTTCATAAACAATTAAATGCAAATGAAACCTAATATGAGCATATACCATACTATTTTAAAAAAATAAATAAAAAACTGTTTTAATAAAGAAAAAGAAACATAGTCAAGGTTATTATAAGTTTTTATTCAAAGTAGATTTATTGGAATTTACCAAGAATCTATTCCAAGCTAAATTTAAAATATGGAGTCCAATATCGCTGAATTATAATCTAGCTGATGATTAATATTATTACTAGATTATTACATTAATAAAAGGTCTTTTTCTCCTTAACTTCTATTATAATCAAATTACCGTATTGATGTCATTTATTTAATAGTTAATGCATAATAGTTGCATTTATAATTCAAGGAACCTGTATATTTAAAAAATGAAATATAAAATTCAATTCAATTTTACATATATTGACCTTGGGTCATATAAGAACTAATTTAATGAAAATAAATTATATGCAAAACTGACATTATTTAACAACTTGCTTTAAAAAGCTTTTACTAAGAAATAACTTAAAACTAGATATTTAAACTTATGTAACTTATATATATATAAATTTTCAAGTAATACATTTACATCTTGTTTAATTTTACAAAGATTAAAATTTCAGTTTAAAAATGTATAATAGAATGAATTCGACTATCATTATCCAATTGTTCCGATTTATATGCGGCATTAAATATGGACATATTAAATCAATTTTCTTAAATGTAATTGAAATTGATATCATACCATATATAAGGGTAGATCAAGAATATTATATATTTTTTTTTTTACAACATGAAGAATATTTATTTTTATGAGGATGTTTTGAAAAATTTTATTTTGAGATTATGGATTTAGCACTATCTTGAAACACTCATATATTTTAAGAAAAATAAATATTCTGCTCTAAACATTATATAAGCTTAACTTGATAATATGATTTTTTTATCTATGAAATATTAGTTCAGTGTCATTATCATTAATTATTGTCTATCACAAGATAAAGAAAGCAACAAAATATAATATTAGAATTCATTACCATTATTAACAAAATAAAAATATAAAACTGTAATTAGAGCACAAAAGTTACAAATTCTTGAAAAAAAATTGGATGTAAGTTAATACATAATTTAAATTATGATATTTTGAAGTTGCATAATTCAAATTGAATCTGTAAAGATTAAAAATTATTCAATCCATCTAAAAATGTTTACTTATTGTAGAATTATTACTAAGAAGAATTGAGTCTATTATTTAAAATAAATGGTTTATTTTATTCTGCTAAAGTATCTTGTAAATCTTATTATAAAGATTTTCTATTTCCATTTCAGAGATATAAAAAGACATTCAAAGTCTATTTACAAGAGATATTACTTGCTATTACTTTTATATTCCAGAATTCATTTAATGAAAGCAACTATTACTGAATACTTTATATTTTTATATTCAAATAAATTATATGAATATATAATTATTATATAAAATAATAGAATTATAGATTAATTATACCATTTTAATTTATTAAAATATTTTTAAATCAATATTTATTTTTCAGATCACAACCCGTTCTTGATGAATCTTCGGGAAAAAGTGGTGCTAAATTTTATAAGTCATTTGATAAATTATTTATAATAAAAACATTAACAAGTGAAGAGGTTGAAAGAATGCATTCATTTTTGAAACACTATCATCCGGTAAACTTATTTATTTCATTTGTATGAAGAATAATTTTTTAATTCAAAAGTAATCAAATCAATAATGTGAACAATTTATTTATATTTATTTATGTACACTTATATTTTAAACAGACTCGTGGCAGCTAATTTAAATTATATAATTTTATACCATATATTGTAAATGAAAATGGTAATAAAAGTAGTAAATTGTAATTTTCTAATATGTCATAGTTTATATTTTTCTATCACTTTTAAATATTTATGCAAATTCGAAAAGTTTATGAATATATTCCTCTTGATAAATTTTCAAATCAATGATATGCTTCTAAGGGTTTTATAGTATTTAAAGTAAAATACTTATTCGATTGTAAGAAATTTTCGAATAAATTTATAAAAAATACTTCAATTTCGAAATATAATATATTTATTAAAAAAAATTATTGGAATATTTGAAAATATATTAATATAAAAGATAAGAATTATTAATTAAAAAATTAGGATAACGTTAAAAATATAATATTTAATTTAACATATATTTTAATAAATATTAATAAATAGTCAATTTCGCGATTAATTTAAATTTCTTTATGTACTATAATCTTTCAATTATTAAATATTATTTATAATAATTTCATTATATAGATTTTTTTTAATGACATCGATAAATGACAATATAAAAATTATTTTTAATCTGAAAGTGTTGAAACAAGTACTATCAATAATAACATATTCTCAACGTAATATTTATTAAATACATTGAACATTGCTTCTTACACTAAAAAGTGTCTGCTATTACTTGGTTAAAAAAAGAAAGATACAATAAACGTTTAATATTTTTACTAATCAACGTCTCGAATAAAAAATGATGAAAAGTACAATAAAAATACTTCAAGATTTCGAAACTTTCTGTATTAGTATAAGTCATGCATCGCGTTTAATAAAATATAAGAAATCTGGTTGTATTTTCATATGTTAAATAAAAATGTACTTCCTTTTAATACAAAATAATTATAATTTAAAAAAAAAGATTTATTTATCGATTTGTTAAATAACTGAAAATAAAGATCAATAATGAATGTAGAGATTTTTCAGTTTTCAGACTAATTTATTTTCATACGCCTTCCCTAGATTATATCAATAATTGTCATTCTTTATATTCCTGTATTAAGATACGTTATTTGTACAATAATGACGCTATTTGTTACATTAATAAAAAATTTATAAATTTTATGATTGATTGTGCAAATGAATCTTAAATGAGTTATAATTTTTATTAAAGAATCATCTATGGTTCATATTTTGCCTTAAATTTTTTCATAGAAATGAGAGATTGGTACAAATATTGCGAAGTAAAAAATTTCCAAATATTTTTATATTAAATTAAATTTGGTATATGCATATAAATTACTACACCATAATATAAAACTCACTGGAAAATATACTATATGAAAAATTAACTAATTTATCAAGATCAATTTCTAAAAAAATAACCGTATCTCAATTTAGATAAATTAGAAAAAAATAATTGAATTATTTGAATCATAAAATAATAAAAATAAACAATGTTGAATTGTATTTTAAATTTGTACAATCTTCAATTTACATTTTATGATATAGTATTTATAGATACTCATATTCCATTACGCATAAAAGACTGTTTTACATTCACTTTCTATTTTGAAAACACGAAAATGATTTCTTTTCAACCTGTCATTAGAAATAAAATAAAATTTAAAAGTTTTAAATCTTTTTATTTTTTTTTATAAATTTATAAATTTTAAAACATTTAAATGTATTTTAATATTTTTGTTGTTATTAAAAACACTCAGTTAACTGAAAAACTAAAATATATTTCAATATATTATTATATTTATTTAAATAAATAACTACTTGATGAGTATTAAAAAAAATTATTACGTAGAAATAAATATAATTATTGAAATATATTTTATACAAACATATATGCTTTAAATATCACTTTAAATCAATTATATTTGAACTTTTTTCTTATGTAATTACAAATTATAATTAATTCTGTGTATATATTTAGTATATTGTAGAACGACATGGTAAAACTTTATTACCACAGTATCTTGGCATGTACAGATTAACAGTGGATGGAGTAGAACATTATGTAGTAGCTATTAGAAATGTTTTTTCGAATCATTTAACAATTCATAAAAAATTTGATTTAAAAGGATCAACTGTAGATCGCGAAGCTTCCGATAAGGAGAAAGAAAAAGAATTACCAACGTTTAAAGATAATGACTTTGTCAAAGAGAAAATGAAAATATATATAGGAGATGATGCAAAATTAAAACTTATAGAAACTTTATCAGCCGACGTTGATGTAAGTATCTCAATATATGTATTTATTTATTTATTTATTCATTTTTATTAATTTTAAAACATTTTCAATTGCTGATCTTTTTAATAAAATTTATCAAGTGTTATTTAATAATATTGAATAATAGTAAAACTAAATCTGTAATGTTACTTTATTAATTTTCAAGACAGTAAAGTACGTGGGCATTATATATTTAACTATTCTAGTAATTATATATACTTTAAGTTTTCTAAATTCTGAAGCTGCATAACTGAAATATCTATTTTCCTACATTTGATTTATGACTTACATTTTATAACTTTATTAAAGAATTTAATTTTTATTAATTAGTATAGTTTTAGTTTTCAATGTTTACAAAAATTATATTTTTTTACCTTAAGTAATGGTTTCTTGAAAACCCTCTTAACGAATTAGAAATATACGATAAAATTTTGGAGCACAACAAACTTTAAATATGATCAACAAATTGTTAGAACTTTTTGATTATTTTTCTACCTCTATATTATATTTTATTAATCATATTTGTTCAATTAATCTATATATGAGGTTTTAAAATTTTTGAAATTTAACTTATTTAATGATAGTTTGATATATTAAAATATATACATTATATATTATTATGTATGATATTATCACATTATTACAAAACAATACATTTATGAAAATGAATCAAATAATTATTAGTGTGTAACAAATTTTTTTTATTTAAATTAGTATTTGTAATTCATCATTGTAAAATGTAAAGAACAACCTAATATATTTATTTTTCAACTATCTTAAATATATATTGCAATTCATTAAAAATTATATTGAATATTTAAATTTTTACAAAAAAAAAAATTACAAAAATAATACATTTGTTGTTTTTCTAATAAATATGTATCTAGATTTATTATCAGCTTTAATTCCAAAATTGTTTGACTTCAGAAAAATTTAAATATTAATAAGATAGATTTTATTTTTATTTAACTAATAATCGCATAATAACTTTAAAGATATTTCGTGACTGTAAAAACATTTTATGCTAAGTCAATTAAAAGGGCTAAAAATTATAAATTGAAGTTAATAAATAATATAAAATATGTTTGGTTTCCATGAGAAAACTTTTACAGAATGATTAACCAACCACTATCTAAAGTATAAAAAGGATAGGATAATAATAGGATAATAAGTATAGGATATATCTAAATATATTTGATTTAAAATAGATATTCTGTTATAATTTTTGTTATATAAAAAACTTTGTTTCATCAAATTCATGCTATTCTATTAATATATTCAAGTTCTGATAAATTAAAATTGTTTAAGATAGTACATAATGTGATTATTACTACTATTATACATATTCGCTATGAATTTATTATTTTTCTTTTTTGGAACTTGAACTTTAAAATCAAACTATATTATTAATTAGGGGAGCGTCAAAATATCAATGAGCACCAATGGGAATGCAATTTTTAAGTACTAGGAACTGCAAGAAAATTCTACTTGAAAATATTGTTGAAGGCGTAAACGATAAAATATAATAGTAATGATATAAACATTGAATATCATGTTTGTGATGTTCGATTTATGAGACTTTCTTGATTCTTGTTTCATAAATAAATAAGTATAAAAATTCTTTATTGTTTTCTTTTATTTCAATTGCGTATTACATCAGTTATCTAGTTGCTAAAATTGATTCGATAAAATAATATATTGCATATATTAAGCATCAATTATAATATTTTTATTTAATATATTTTCAATTCTTTAAAAATACTACATTGAATTTAATAACGGCTTGATTTTAATAAGATATTTGTTATATGTTCTTACATATGACTCATAAATAAAGGCTCATAGCCATAATAAAATTCTTTTTTTCTAGTTTTTAACTCACTTACATTTAATGGACTACTCTTTACTACTTGGAGTACACGATTGTATACGTGCCGAACAAGAAAATAAAGATCGAGTAGATAAAGAACAAGATGATGATAACCGTGACGATGACGAAGACAGTGAATCTGGAAGTGGAGTAGAGTGTCGAGGATCTATGGGAGAGTAAGTTGAAATTTCTTAAAATAACTTGTATGTTCAAATTGAAAAGTTTTAAAGTAGAATATGTACATTAAAAAATTTAATATTATGCTATCTATACATAATTTTCAAAAAAGTATCGTATTATTTCAAATTTTTTCCATTAGCTTTTTTCTATATTCTTTATATTCAATTATTATTAATATTTATTGGAAGCTTTAGGGAAATTATTGTTTTTTTTCTTGACCACATATATTTAATTTTTATCTACGTATTTTCAATGATAAATAGAAAAACATTTCAGCTATTTTTAAATATATTAATTAATAATTGTTTGTAGTTTTGTTAATGATATTATTACAATTAATATTTCATTTTGTAGTTATTTCATTATTAGTATTGTCTGGGATCAGACTAAAAGCCTCCCTGTGATGCTTAATGGAGGCTTGCTGGCAAGTGGAAGGACAATACAATAATTCAACACTGCCTTTGAATGTAGTGTCTTTCCCTTTATTGAATATAATAAATATAATAAATAGTCAGTGGTCTATGGATGTCGAATTGGAATGTATGATACAATGAATAGATGAGAGTTTATTCAATTAATATGAGCAACAAGAATCTTGTGAGTGTATTCTTGGTAGCTTCGTGCTTGATTCTCCTACTCGTAGTTATGAACTAGTGGTGGGAGACTCGCGCTGATAAGGGGCAGCGATGGTGCCGCCTTTGCCGCTGGCGAGAAGAGCTGTAGCGGCCTGAGTGGGGGGCGCCTGTGTGACGTCATTGATACGGAGGCAGTGTGGATCTGCCGTTGCCGCTAGCGAGATGAACGCTGTAGCGGTCGGATGGAGGGAGGATATCCGTGTCACGTCACTGCTTGACGGGTGGGAGGATTCCTCGTACCGAATACCACGTATTAGTTTTGCTGCTTACTTAGTCGGTGGGAGCCGTGTATTAGTGACCTGTAAGAATGTGTGGAGTCGATCTCAGTTGCATTGATGCTACGTAAGAACGTGTGTAATAGCATGGCTTACGTGTGTTGAGGTCGATCTCTGTAGAAGCGTTGGTAGGCCGAGTGAACTTGGTTTCCGTTGGGCTGGAGTCGATCTGTGCAGTGTTGGGTGGCCGAAACTAGCTTGGCTTACGTTGAGCTGGGTTCGATCTGTAGAACGGCGATCCGATCTTGATGAATGCTTGATTGAACTAGTAAGAGTACGAGAGCGTCAAGCGCGTCTCCTTAAATATCCTAGCACAGGCTTGCGATTCCGGTGAATTCTGGATCACTCTTGTCATGCTGATTGTTAGAGTGACGTCACTGGAGTCTAGCCTTGTAGAGTTTGTCGGCCCTTGTTAGTCGGAATTGTAATGTAATATTCGACTATTTTGAGTAGTGAGGTTTCCCGATTTCATAGAATTGTGTTTATAACTCGGCGTCCAAATGTTTCTACCTAAGCGCAGGTGTCTTTACCTCTCCCACTTTGTTTACCGCGTAATAGTTGCTGTAATCCGTAACAAGTATTGTAATATTTGTATTTTGTAATGATATACTTTTTACTACGTATGCTAACTTGTATAGCGTCATATAATCGTTTCATGAAAACAAATTTAGAGAATTTATATTCTAAGACGGGTTACATTTGAAGTCTATAAGAAATCGTAATAAAAACTAGAAACACTAGATATAAAGAAGCATGGATTCGAAGGTTACTAAAGAATATGTATTAAAAGTAACCAAAAATGTTAAAAATATTCAAGAAAGGAATTACTGATTCATTTATATTATAGAGTTCATCCAATTATTTTTGATCGACAAATAAAAACAAACTTTTTTGCTGCTAAAAAACAGCACATCTAGTATTTTTCTATTTGTCCATATATCAAAGTTTATTAATTTAGTACCCAGTTTTTTAATTTAAATTTCACAATTAAAATCTTTAAATATTTCATAAATAAATTTTTTCAAAATCTTATATAACGTTAAGTAATAAAAATTGAGTTACTTTTACAAATTATATAGTAATTTGTTTTTTGTATTAGTTATTCTAACAGTAGAATACTTTTACAAGCACATAGACATCTTTTCAAAGTTTAGAGTTTATTATATTTATATAATAAATTGTAGTATTAAACGTATTTGATACACATTAGTTTTAGACTATAAACCATAATATAAAAAGTACGAACGAGGAATTAAAATTAGCTAAAATGAAAATATTGTTAGAATAATATTTTAAATTATATTTACAAAAATTAACTTATAATTAAAATTTTATGATGTTGCTAACAAAAATTAATTAATGTATCACTTTTATATATTTAATAGTACTGCAATTATTCTATTTCTAATTTACCGTGTTTTACAAGTTTTTTTACGATACTGTTGTTTTTAATGTTGGCGATATGATTTGTTTATAAAACATATATAAATTTAAACTGATAGTAGTAAATAATAGTAATAACATTGAACTGATTTGTATATTCGTCTATTTAAAAATTCTTTTTCTAAAAACAATCTTTATGAAATTTACTTCCCAAATTATATATTCTATTTTGTATTGTTTTATTTGCATCATTTATAATATGTATATGTTCGGGATTGAAGTAATTTCTTCAAATTCGAAACTTCTAGAGTTTTTATTCTGCGCCTCATGTAAGCTCATAAGCTGCTGCGTGGATACTTAACGACAGCACGATACGCCTAGACGCTCATTGTAATTTAGTCAGTCAAACAGTTATCAGTCATTCCGTTATACAGCCAGTGCTTTCTGCTCTGCACCAGTCGCTCAGTTATATCACACAATGAAGCCATCCCAAGAAATACACGTCTAATATCTAATCTGCTACAAGCTACAAGAAGTCAAGAGTGCTAACTTCATTACGAGAACTTTACGGCTACAACCAGCATAGTCTCGAAAATATTTCCATACACCTTAAGGCCGCACGTCCGATACAGGCGTGTGTGCATACATACTTTGATGCCACACGTCCTATACAGGAGTGTGAGCACATTTCTGCTGATCCTTACAATATTAGCATAAATCACGACATCGTCACCATCAAGGAGCAATCACATCATTGAGACATGACAGAAACAAGACACACTTTTCTGTGAGAAGTGAATACTGCTTATTATTAATGTAACTGTTAATAAATCATATGTTAACAAAGTTTGCACATACTACACCTTTCTACAATCCTTCCACTTGACTCCCAATTTAAGCATCTGCCAAGGCGTTCGGCAAATTATTAAAGCTGCCGAAATATTAGCAGTTCCAGCCAGCAAATAATACCACTTTCGAATATATTTACTGTTTTATCATTAAAAATATTTTGATCACTATAATAATTTAATTTAATTTTTAAAAGCATTTCTACCGAGTGCTCACTTGCCTAAAATATAAATACGAATTCTGCTTTAATAAACAAAATAATATTACAAATAATTCTCATAGATAGTATATATATATTTGTATTGATACATTTATTATTCCACAAATTTTATTTTAATATGTAAATGTTTTATGAATATTATCTTAAGATGTTTATGGAGTTGGAGTGGAATGACAACGATGGCTACACCACCGGAATCTCCACAAGGCATATTAATACGTGATTCAAGTTTGCAATACGAAGATACTATTATTCCAGAATTAGATATATATGCTATTCCAAGTTCGGAAAGTAAGTATTTTACGTATATATTTTCATTTTTAAGTAGACTTGTTGATGTATTTATGCATGGAGTATTAATTTGATAATATAGATAAATTTTAATAATATTTCTATGTTAATGTGGTAATGATAAATTTATAAAAAAATATAATTTTTATGAATATTGATCCATGTATTATTTTTATATATTTAACATTTTTAACAAGGGTGCAAAGAAAATTATGAGCCTTGCGTGATAATTATAATACGAATAGATTTTTACGCATTTATCCTGCTGAGTATTTATACTAATAATGGTTTAGCATATATTAACTGAGCAAATTGATCATATATCAACTGATTTATTCAGAATATATGAAGAATATATGAGAAGTTATAAAAGTATATGAGAAATTGAAAAGGTTCATAAATGTAATCATTTTAGTATTTAATCTTGTAAAATTCATCAATTATATAAACAATTTAATATTATATTACATTCAATGTTATCTTAAGCTTTTTATTTTAATATACCCGTATTGTAATAAAATAAATTACATGATTAGATTGTAATGTAATGTCAGTCCATTTAAATTAACTGAAAACAGAAAGAAGTAGTACCTGTTAATAAAGAAAACCAATTGTCCATCTTAGTAAATATATAATAAATTGTTCGAGATTCCGAGAACCTCTTGAGTGTGTTAAACATCTGGAAAAACCCCAATGTCGTCAGACATCTGGGAGCAACACCAATCGCATCTATTGTTGTCAGCTTTAACAAGGCTGTGGCGTGGACATTTAAGGCAAGCACGCTTCGCAAAAGCGCTCTCTCTTACTGGTGACGTAATGGAAGGAACAAGCTCTCTGACCATACGACGCCCAGGAAGGAACAAGCTTTCTCTTCCTCGGAACGCAATAGAGATCAAGCTCTCTTAAAGTAAGGCCACCATAGAGGGAAGACGCGTCGACTCTCCTGTGCTGCAAAATAATAGATATTGACATTATCTCCTTCATATCAAGAAAATGCCAGACTACAAAAAAATAAGGCATACTCCACACCAAGCAGTGTGCAGAATTGATAGCTCATCCTTGCAAAATCAGCAACAAAGCGCCACCATCAACACGGAGCATTCGTGATGGTGAACTATTTATCACAGAATCAGATCAGAGCTACTGTATTACTGTAAGTAGAAAAAGTCTAAGGCGTAATCATTGCTAATCCTTATAAGTTTAGAAAAGGCTATTATTAACATAGCATAAGGCATAATTATATCAAGGGGTATACACAATCATTGCTGAGCCTTACAAGATTAATAACATCATCACCATCAACAAGGAGCATCTCGTATTGGTAAACTATACACCACAGGATCAGTTTAAAGCAACTGCATCGTTATTATTGAATATATTATACACTCTTCCATCACATAAATTGAACACATCAATAATGTAATTGTCAATAAACCATAATAAACCATATTTAACGAAGTATGCATACTCTGTATATCTCTACAGTCCTTCATAAGCTTCCCTGGGACGGGCGGCAAATTATTATATAGCTATCGAATACAAATATATAAAGTAAGCATTACATAACTATTTAAATTAAAGAATAACGAACAAAAACAGAAAAGAATTACGTATTTTATGTCAGAAATAAATATATTCTAATATTAAAAAAAAAAAAAAAATTAACAAGAGATGCAAATATAATATTTATGGAAAACGTAAATTGTTAAATGAAATGGTCTAGTTTTAATTGTTTATCAAAGAATGAAAAACTGTAGCGAAAATTCCATAATGATTTCCACTATTTAGTAAGATGAATCGTAGAGATTAATTATTGCTTTTTGTTCGGGATTGGAGCAATTTCCAAGAACGTTAAAATGGGAAAAGTACAAGCCTTCCGACGCTTATGTTTGCTAACATTGATTCTGCGAATTCTCGAATATTCTACGCCTTATTTACTAGTGTTCTACAATATTTCCGCATAGCAACGTGTGTCTAAGGTTGTCTCTGGACTTCTCGAATATTCTAGAGCATAGTTTCTGACGTCATCAAAACTTTCGGCCTAGCAACAAGCCCATGTATTGTTACCAGCGTTACAGGTTGCCACGCGAATATTTAAGAGCAGCTCGCCACGCTCCTGGGCTTACTGTAATTTTCTTAATCAATCAGTTATCAGTTATTACACGTTATTACACAGCCACTAAAATTCCACTTTAAACCAGTTAATTAGTTTTACTAAATATACGCACATAATTCAGCAAGACTGCAATAATAAGATAGTAAGCCAACAGTGAAGTTAAAATTTATTTACTATTTACGTGCGCCATAGTTAAGCAGTCAAGAGAAGTACTGATTGCATTTCAAAAGTGTATATTAAATAAGAAGCGCACCACCTACGCACTCATCACAGAATTATGTAAGACAATGAATTTCTGTGAAAATTAATTGAACGAAATCTACTTGAAAGTACAAGCGCGCCAGACAAGTTAGGCACTGTTAGTTCGCGAAGTTCCTGCGAACGGCCGAGGTGTTTCAGCCACCAGTTACAAGGGCAATTGAAGGCGCAAGCGTGCCAGTCATCACAAGCATTATACGTGTCTAATCCTAGACACTTTTTCTTTACTGCAAATTGTATATATAGCTGTTATTTACATACAATATTAACGCCATTGTGGATGTACTACTAGAATGATATTTGCCTGCTAATTGTTGTTTTTTTTTTAATTTTTGCTGATTTACATTAATAAGTATTGTTCTTTGTTTAGACATTTATATTACATAATTGATTGATTTCTTTTTATTGTAACAAAAATGAAACTGATAATATAATATTATTCTTTTAATTTATACATTAAAAAAAAGAATATAAAATTTGCATACGAGTTTTACAACTGAATGGGTTTAATATTTTAAGTATAAATATTCGTTAGAAAAAGTATTTTGACGACTGACTATTAATTCTTGAAATTTTTTATGTTTTAAGCTACTTTATTGAAACTTTTAATAATATTTTAGCTATATTTAACTACAATTAACGAAAATGATAGATAATATTAAATTTCAAATAGTTGCAAATGATTAGAAGATATACAAATTTTGTTTAAAGTAATTATCTAAAATAGATAAAATAACAAAATGTTATGTAAAATAAAAAATATATACAGATTTCATGAAGATAATATTTCAGGTTTTCGTGGGAAGATTAAGCTAAATTTATTTCATCTATTGTTTAAATTTCTAAGCTGCGAGAATGCGCAGGGGAACTCGGTGAGTCCACCTATCAATTATTTCGGAGGTACTAATTCAAATGGACTCTTCAATTAATATATGCATCTATTTAGCTTATTTATCAGTTTTTTAATTTTAAATTAATTCACGTTTCTATATTGAAAAGGAAATCCATTCAACGAGAATCTTATATTCAATCTCTTTCCGTAAGCTTCTTTTCAAAGGTTTAAAGGGTATACTTGTTCTTCAAGTATTATATTAAATGTTATTTTATAATTCATTATTTTCCATCGAAAATGTAAAAATGAGGTGGTAACAATTATTTTAACTTAAGAGAAGTATATTAGATTTAAATATTTATTACTGGGTAAGTTGAATAAGATTTAAGATGTTCTAGAACTATAAAAATTATGATTTGGAGAAATCTAATCTCGAATTATTTTATAAATATCTATAATTAAACATCTTATTCCCTAGTTATCTATATTTTTTTTCTAATACTTTTGATAGTATTGAACTTCATTAAGTTATCGATTATTCAGTTTATCTTAATCAAGAATTATTTTTTCTTGTGTATCAAAACTAAGAATCTTTTTCAATATTTGTCTAATTTTATATTGAAAGAAAATTTATTTGATAATGATCGACAAGGGTTCAACGTGTAACATACGTAACTCAAATATTTATCAATTAATAAGTAACAAATTTGTATCAACAAAATAGTAAAGCAATTGTAGGAAAGAAATATATAAGTAATAAATGCATTCAATATTTTGCTTAAATAATAATACACGGTAAGTGTTTTGTTGCTCATAATATATTGATGACTAAAACTTAAATGCTTTTAATGTAAAGGAAAGAACGAAATAAAGATGGCTTGCTTCAACTATATAATCCTCTTAATTTGATAAATTTTTTAACTGACATCCAAAATGTTGATTACATAAGTTGAATAAAACTATCGCACTTTTATTATGAGTTTATTATTAATATCTTGTTAAACATTACTGATAGAAATTTAATATCTTAAGTTACTATTAATATTATAATTACTTGTAAATAAAATACTCATTCAAAATATACTTGTATTTTGCACTAAAATATTTGATATAAATTATAAACAGATTCATAGTATTAATTTATTTACAGATGCACCTGACAAGGAATTATATTTTTTAGCAATTATCGATGTACTCACTCATTATGGTGTTCGTAAACAAGCAGCTAAAGCAGCAAAAACCGTTAAATATGGAGCCAACGTTGATGGAATATCTACCTGTGATCCAGAGCAGTATGGAAAGCGCTTTATAGAATTTTTGAGCAAAGCAATAGAATAATTATAATTTGAATACATTATATATAGTTAGATTTTGTTATAATTAATACAAATTATATTTAACGGCCTTCCAGATTAATAAAAAATAATGGAACATTTGCAAAAAAATAAAGTAGATGAAAAATACAAAAAAAAATGTTCACATTTTAATTGTAATTAGGTTTATTTACATTATTATTATTATTTAGTAATAAAACTTACGTTTTAATAACTATTTTAGAAATATATCTTTAAATGACTTCCTCAACCAAAAATATTCATGCGCGAAGAGCTGCTATTAAATTAGTAAAAATAGAATAAACTGGGTCAGTAAAAAATTTGTATATTTACTTGCATTAATGCCAATAAGTCAACTTTTTTGAGATTGGTTTTTAATATTACAATAAAGAAAGCTGCACTTTTCCGAGTACTAAGCAGTGTGATGATAACTATGCTATGTTAGTACTCTACTGAGGCAATGTCATTAGACGAACTATGATGTTATTTTCCAACTTTGTTTTTCAGCTATGTGTCATTCTTAATAACTAAGGACAATGCCAGGATACACTCCCATTTAATAAGGACGTTAAATATTTTTAAGGGGACAAATTATTCCTCCTTCCTCTAATTGATATCCATTCTCTGCCCGTGTATCAATTGATCAGATTGTAGTGCATATATGTGCATTAGTTATCATAATTACAATTTAGTCTTAAATTTATAAAGAATGCGTTTTATTATATATTTGTAGATATTAAAAAGTATATATAATTTATCTTCTTTGTATATAATATATTTATTGAAATAGAATTCATTAATTGATAGTATTGATATTGTGAATAAGAAATAAACAGTTTGTCTTAATTACCTTAGCTAATAATAGTATACAATATACAGTTTATCAATACATAATTTATATATAGCAAGTTTCAATTTACTTTCTTTTTTTCTTCAAAATGAGTCCATTGGCTGTTTTACTTTTTAACTTTAAATAATAAGAGATTATGATGAATCAATATTTTTTGGTTTTTAAAATATAGTTAACGCGACAAAAAATTTCATTAATAAATACAAATAACAGTTTCTTTTTAATTTTACGTAAATATTTATTTATAATAAAGAGACGTGGAACAAACCTTATTTTTTAATGATTATAGAATTTAATTGTTTTGTTTAATTTATTTTGTCGAAGTACACAAAAAACCTTTTAAAAATTATTCATATGTAGTTCTTATAAACTCAAAAACATATAAAAAAAAAGAATTTTTGTAAAACAAAATATTCATGAAATATAATTCTTGCAAGTATCAACATATTAATCATTGAACTATATTTTTACTCAATGTATTACATTCATTTTTGGTATTTTTATTCACTATAAACTAATATTTTCTTTTATAAAAAACATAGTTGTACTTAATGAATATATACTGCATTATATTTAAAAAATATGCTTGTTTCAAAGCATATAGTCAAAATATGAAAGAATAAAGCAAATTTTAATAACCACATTTAAATTTGATAACATAATTTGGAATCTACGATTTTTTTATCTCGTAAAAATTGTCCAGAAATACAATTATTTGCCATAACTATATATCAGGGTAAATAAATTTAAATTTATGAAATATATATATTAAAAATATATTATAATGTTTGCATGTAAAAATATTGATTGTATATTTATAAAATTCAAATTCCAAATTATATTTCCAGTGCATACGTTTATCTTTATCCAAAAAGAATAACATTATTTAATTATCACATTTCATCATCAGGAATATTGCCATTTAATGATTATAAAGTCTTATGATTTTTCTATTCATTATAGAGTTTTATGCATTTTTTACATAGTCATTTAACACATAATTAAAGTAATTTGTACACTTTTTTGTAGGAATATAAAAAACCATATTAATTATAAACTTTATGATTTAACTTTATATATCAATATAGTTCATTTTAAATAATTTATCAAATTTGAATTCATAATTTTATTTGTACATTGAATTACTAAAATGTAGTTTAATACTAAGAAATAGTTTAAAAAATGTTTTTAAATAAAAAAATTAAATATATGATGAAGAATCTAAATAGATGTTTCTGAATTAAGTTTTAATAGAAACTTATTAGCTTTTGGAAGAGCTATTTGTTCAGACACGTGAAAATGAGGAAACTGATGAACACTACATAAAAGAGCAATTTCACCTTGTCGTAATTGAAATTGACAACCACTTGTAAGAGATCTAGTTGGAAGTTCTCCTTCACACACTAGTGCCCAATGCTGAGAATTTCTTTCTTTTTCCTTTTCACACGACAGTACAGGGCTTGTACTAAAGAATGGCTCTAAGAAGGCACGAGGCGTAGCATCTTGAGCAAGACAATGTGCTAATCTTTTTAAAATAGTTTCAACTGAATGACGAGGTTGTTGTCTAGTAATTCTAAGATACTTTTGTAAAACACGGGCCATCGAAGGAAATACTGATTGAGCTGCTTCCATCGGATCTAATGGATTTGTAACTCTTCCAGAATCTAAATTGACTCTTTGAATATGAGCAAACGCTTCTTCAGCAGCAGTAATTAAACGGGCCTTACGTTTTCGTACTCTTCTATTATATTCATGTTCTTCATAAAAACGTTCATTGTGACTTGAATCTCTTCGGCGGGCTTGTGCAGCTAATATTGCTCGATCGCTTCCACAACCAATTCGATCACTATAAGATTGTTCAGCACTATTTATCCCATTATCGACATTATAAAACTTAAAATTACTTGAATGCTGTTTTTTGCCGGACTTCGATGTAGGTAAGCGTTCCAAGTAAGGATTATAAATAGAAAATTCAGTATAATATTTTTCTAATATCCATACAGCAGCTCGTTGAATTGATAATTGTCCTATAGCATATGATCTTGATACTCCATCAGGGGATCTAACAATCTAGAATATAAATTAAAATTTTTTTTATTTATATTAAATCTAGAGCGGATCAAGATATGTATTAATAATCGTATATTCATTAAAAAGTATAAAATATATTTCAATGGTATATTAGTTTGATTAAGAACAATAACTAATAGTAATTGCGGATACAAAATAATTTAATTGTGAATTATTATTTATCTATAGGATGTACCACATTCTATATATAGAATATAAAAAACTTTAATTCATAATTAACATTAAAAACGCATATGGGAAAATAAATTTATATAATAAATTATAAAGAAATTTATCTATTTTTAGTAGGTTTAATCTAAATTACTTTTCCTACTGAATTATTAGAAAATTGTTTACTATTTCCACGTATTTTCTCTAAGATGAATAAATATAATAGTTCTATTAAAATATATACATTTGTTTATATCTTTTACAATACAATTAAAAATGTATAATTATAATTAACATATAAAATAATTTATTTTTCGTACATACTAAATTTTTGCTTTTTATAGATAACATTTGATTTTGACTTGGATCTTAATTTTTCTAAGTATTTAAACAGCAGTTAATTAGCATACACTACTTAAAGTAATACTATGATGTTAATACAAGTCATAAATACGTTTTTTTTTACAGAAAGTCAGATTTAATATTATTTTTTAAATACCTTTCATAGATTTAATACAAAATATATCTATATTTTTTAATTGTTATCGACATTCACATAGTAAATTGATAATATTATGAAGTCACACGCTTTGTCATATATTATATTTTCTATTTAAAATATGTTGATATTATAATAATAATGAAAATTTTGAATGTAGATATTTATCTTTTATCTCTTTAGAAAATTGATGTAAACTTTGAAATTTTTAAATTTCACAACTATTATATATTTTGTAGACCATCATTTTATAAGAGATTATTGTTGATATTTAATAAAAAATTCTCAGAAAATAAAATAGGTATCATAATAAAAGATATATTATGTGCATTGCAATCAAATTATTATTAGTACTAAAAGGAATATAGACAAAATATTTACATTCACATAGGCGAAATTTTTCAATAAAGTTATGTACATTTATAGTCTATCATTATCCGTTGTTTCTGTTAGATTATATAACTACCATTTAAATTAACATTTTCACAGCTGAGTAGCAAGTAATACTGTTTTGTTTATTTATGCTAATAGTATATAATTTATGTAAAATGAAGAATATTTAAACTAAATATGATATCATTATAAACTTTATATATGTCATCGTTATAACAATCAAATTCAACTACTTTACGAATATTTGTGATCTTAAGAAATTAATATATAACATTGTTTAGCGTACGTTAATTGTATATGAATCTGAATATTCAAACTTATATATTAAGAAGATAAATTACCTTCAAATAATACATTGGTTTTAAATGACGAATTTCTAGAAGTAAAACTGCTACATAATGTATAAATAATAATGTATCAATGAAATTGCCAGCATAATTTACTAAACTTTTATATTCAGCCAGATCTCCAACTAATGCTGTTTTAGCTGCTTCAGTAATCTAAAATCAATATTAAAAATATAACATAGAATACTATATAATTTCGTGATATTAGATAATAAAATTGGATTTAATGAATATATTTTCAATTACTTAAAATACATCAGTAATAAATTTTATAAGTATATTTGAATTTCATTATTAGCGAGGGTGATAGTATTATTATTTTTGTATTTAAATCTTATTAAATATTCAATACAATAAAAAAATTAATATAAACAATTACTATCATGCACTTATACATAAATGCCGAGGTAGAATTTTAAAAATAAATATATGTACTGTCTTGTAAATTAATTACTTTAATGTAAGTCCATATACGTCGCATGTGTACAATTACTACAAAATATAAGGACTCATGAAGGTTATTTTGGAAATGCATTAATTATTTAAATTTTATAAGTAGAAATTTTTAATTTAAATTCAATTTACAGCGAGATTATTATAATACACATCGTATCAATTTTATTATATTAATTTTTAAAAATTTTTTTAATGTTATTTATTATTTGACAAATTTACAAAATATTTTCCAGTAATTGCGTATGCGATTACGTAACAGATTGATTAAAATACAAGCAATATTTTTGGAAAAATATTGATATATATATATATATATATATATATATATATATATATATAATGATACAATATTTTTGTAACTGTCTTTTGTAACTATGTAACTTTGTCTTCTATAAAATTATCATCAAATGTTTAATTGCTTCTAATTGAAGATATTTATAGTCAATCTTTTTAACATTTAGAATAAAAATAAATGTTTGAAAACTTCGTATACATATAATTATGAAATAATTTTGAACACAAATAAAAAATTGATCTTAGTATAGTCAATTTTTGTTTAACTTTATATATACAAATTTGTTATTTCAAAATAATATTTTATATTATATTATATTATAATGTATGTCTTTTCAAAAATTCTTATTGGAATATAGTATGTAAATTCAAGGCAATATTGCATTCGTTAATACATATATTTAATGTAATATTGAGAACAGAATTAAATTATTAAGTAATTATTTTAAATTTCATACCTGCACAATATAAAATAACCAAAAAGTGCATACACATAATGTCGTTAAAATAATCACTCCTGTACGAAACATAAATATTCGTGGCATAAAAGCTTCTCGTGTTTTTAAAAATATTGCCCAGCTTCCAATTCCAAGTAATGTAACTTTAAATCCCAATCCAAGAAGATGACCTTTACATTCTATATTACATGATGCATAATTTAATCTTTGCTGAATAGTTAATATTGATAATGCATCTGGAAAAAATCCAAATTTAGGTAGAAGTATCATAATAATAGGACTAAGAAAAGCACTTCCAATAATTGTAATAGAAAAAATTGCAGCTATATAACGACTACAAATAATGTTAAAGGATTCTCCATCTTTTGGCCATTGACTAACTCCATCAACTGATTCGGATCTTTCAGATGTATTTGCAGTAATAGCCGTTGTATTTTCTGCCCAATTTTCCCCATCAGGTAAAACGTGTAAGTCAATAATATCTTGACCCAAATTTTCAACACTTTCTTGTCTAATATTAACTGCCGTTTGAAAAGGTGCCATTTTATAATCATTTAGATGATTTTTCTTTTATAGAATTTAATTTCTGAAAACCATGAAATACACACACACGCATATATATATATATATATATATATATATATATATACATATATACATATAAACAAGATTAAAATTAAACTAAGTAAAAATGAAAGAACATTAAATACAATTTATAATTAACTTATATTAAATGCACATTGAAACATAAAATAACTATTATTTTTAAATTATCTATCTAGTGTATTATAACACTAAATCGTAAGCTAAATTTTTAAACTTATTCTCCAATTTGAAAATGAAAAATTTGAACTAAAGAAAGCATTAAAAATTATTTCAATTTCATAAGCAAAAAGATATAGAATTCGAAATAACCTTTTTCATTTACATTTCAGACACAATCATATTTTATAGCGCGGTTGTATAGATCTACCGTAAAAGATCCCTACTGTAAAGTTACTTTTCACGACCAACATTACTCAGAAAGTACTCAAGTTTTCCGTTGATCTTTGCACATGGTCATTAATAACCATGTTTCAATTTATGGTAATTTTTGTAATGAAAATTAATTGCACCAATATACTAAATGATCAATAAAAATATAATTTAACAACTATAAGGAAATGGAAATAATTTTTTTTCCGATTATTGATACAGTAGTATATAAAAATTTAATATTACTGTAATTTCGTTTTATGAATCAGTTAATTTTACACTTTTACTCAGAAACATGAAATTTGATTGAATTAAAAAATCTAAAATCAGCTTATAAGTATGAAATTCAACAATGTTTATCTGAGGATTTTTCCTGAAATATAAAAATACTTTTATGAAAATGACTTTTACTTGGTATGAAATCACAAGATCGATTTAAAAATATATCAAATTGATTGAATGCAAATTCAGTTTGAGCGTAATATATTTTATTCTATACGTATGTACATAAACCTAGATTATTGTATATAAAATTTTTGTATATTATGAACGAAATTACAAATCAAGAAAATTCCAAAGAAAACGAGTCTTGAAAAAATATTAAGAATATTCAATACTAATAATGGGGGTTTTTTTCTCTTCTGACTCGCTTTAGAAGCAAAATGTATAAAAAAAACCAATATTATAAATTTTAAAATTAATAAAATTACACATTTATAAATCAATTTTTAGTTGTTACCAAAGAAATTTTTTTCTAAAACTTCTATCAGATAAAGTTTGTTATTTTGAATAAAGCTACAATGATGAAAGTATTTTATTATCAATAACCACGTTTGTAATAAACTATGTGCACATATCCATGTTTTTATGCAGGCCAGTAATATATGAATTATCACACAATTTTTTTTTCGTTACAAGACATTTACTTCTTCATTAAACCATTGTGAGATTAAAACGAGTCCGCATTATTCTATAAAAAATCTCATGCAAACAAATAGAAGTTTAGTTTTCTTTAATGTACCTGCTTTTTTCACCATTTCTCTTCATTATGTATCAAGATACCCTTTTCAGCTTGCATCCAATACAGTTTGTTCTTATCGTGTTTTTCTCCTTACTTAAATGAAGTTTAAAATTAAAGATTAAATTTAATCATTCTAGCACCTTCCTCTAGGTGTAACCTGCATAAAACGTACTCGTAAACTATATATCTATGGATTTATAACTATGTATCTACATATTTCAAAGAAGCGTCATTAATGTATTATGTTTATACTTTTAAATACGAATATTACCTTCCTGATTAATAAAAATGGAATAAAATAATGACATAATGTAAGATATAAATTGTATATTTTTAATTTACTAATAAATCTTTTTAATAAGATATTCTCAAAATGTATAAATTTGTATATAGTACTTATGTAAATTTTTAAAAGAATAAATTAATCTGATGGTATTATATCTATTAATTTGCTAATTAATTATTTGCTAACTAATTATTTGCTTTTTGTTTAGGCATACATTTGTTCTTGTAATAAAACAAATTTTGAGCATAATAGAATAAAATATATATAGAAATTATGAAAAACATTATGAATTTAAAAAGGGTGAAAATATTGAATAGATATTTATTTCATGATCTTATAATGTAATAAGATAGAAGTTTTAGTAAATTTGGGTCAAAAATTAAATTAACGAAAGAAAATCATTATATTATTCATGAAAACAATAATTTACATTATTTACATTCCAATCATTTTTAATACAAATTTATCATTTGGGACTGACATAAACTATAAAATAATATATATATATATATATATATATATGATATAAAATTAACAGAAATAAAAAATTGCAGTTTAGGATTCAGAAAATTACCATATACTACATTATTAGTAGCATCAATTGGTTAAAATTCTGAAAATATTATATGTACATTTCAGAACATAATTTATGAATGATATTGAAACATGCAATGCTAGTACAGTGTTTAATATGTGATTATCAATTAAATTATTTAAATTAATTTATTTCTAAAAATATATTTTATTTTATTAATGATAAAAATTGACAAAACCTTAATAATATACAATAAATTTATACTTTTAAGATATTTTCAGATCCATTAATAATGACAAAGTATAACTATCAAATCAAGAAGTAACAAAATCTAGACTAACAAAAAATTAAATGGTTTAAATATTTTATATTATATATTAGAAATTATAATTTTTATTATATATTAGAAATATTTTATTTATTATTCTTTTTAACATATAAACAAATTTATTAAATAAATTTTTTGTAAAATTATATAATATACTTTTATTTTATTATTTTAATTGGCAGATCTATATTGTTATATTTTGTATAATAACAATTATATATGCATTGATTTTTTATTTTTAACAATAGACAAATTTCACAAATTGTTAACTAAATTTGTCAACTTTTTTGTGAAATATTCATTTATTAATAAAAGATATTTTAATTACGGTTGTAACTTGATCAATACAATTTTAATACTAATAAATAAAAAGAAATTTAGCAAAAGTCATTAATATTTACATTTTTATCCTTTAAATTCCAATAATTTTAAAATAATGGTATATTTTGTATATCACTATCGAAAACAATATAAATATACATTGAAGTATTTAAAAATATTATGCACTTAGATCTATTTACAATATTATTGCAACTCTATAATTATACCTAAAATTATATAATCTAATTTCTTTGTTATAATCAATCAGTTTATAAAATCATCAAATTTTTTATAATTTATTTATCAATAATAGCTTGAAAAGTTCTTAATTGTAAATATTAATTTAAAAAATTGTATACATAAGTATTATAATTTTTTACTTTTATAACATTTTTCTAATATTGAATCGAAATTTATAATGAAATCAATATTTTTAAATTCCTTAATACATACATATTACCATAAATGTATTAAAAATCAAATTACAATTTTGTCAGACTAAAATATAAAGGTAAATCTATTTGATAAAGATATATACATACATTAAATAAGTAATATTATACTAACTATAGTTTTATGTATATTTGAAATTGACATACTAACCATAAATATAAGTTCATAATTGCATAAAATTCTAAGAAAATGTTATAGATTATAGTCTTACGACGGGCGAGAAATTACTAATTTACTTCGTTTTCATTATCTCCAGATTATTTAAAATATGAAACGCAACCTGTAATATATGGATTATAGTTGCATAGATGATTCTATTCATAGAAAATTTCTTTGTACAAATTTAAGTACACATAGGCGACATTACGCCATCTTATTAAAATGAGCGCAGAAATTAAAATATTGATATGCGTAAAGTTTTATAAAATATTATATAATTTGAATTTTTATAAAAATTTCCTTTAAATTTCTTTCAACTTATACCATATTATATATAAGCATATACAAAATTTCGAAAAAACCGTATTTAACGTATGATCTGCAAAAGTAGAAGCAATTTTATCCCATGAACTTAATAGGTGTCACAGTAACTTTCAATGATATATATAAAGAAATTTCAACTTTATTATTGGTATTGGTCAATAAAAATAATATATTCATATAAATAAATTAATTTATACATATTTACTTTTTATAAATGCGAAATCAAATTTAATTATTAGTTTTTTTGTATAATTTACATTAAAAATTTTTAATTATTGAAATTTCTCATTTATTCATAGTTAATTTTCTTATTGACAATTTTTTTTTAAAGTATCTAAATAATTAAAATAATTCATTTCCAAATAAATTGTAATTATATTTATTAATTACAATTCTCACTGTAAAGCTTTCACCATGAGCTATGTTGCAAACAGATAAAATAAAATATGAATTTCATTTATTAATTTACAAAACAAAATAAATCTTTTATTAATATTTTTAATTTATAAATAAAAATAAGATTTTAATAATCTGATAAGTTCGGATCATATATCATATCTTAACGTATTTTATTTTTAAAATCAATAATACTTTTAATTAACCTTAAATTAAACTTACTTTTAATTAAAAAATATTTCTTGAATTTGAAAGCAATAATTAGTTAACACGTATACAGTATATTTACAACAATCTCTTATTAAAAATTTTACTTAAACTTTAATAATTTTTTCTTTGAATACACTCAGTTCACAAATGTTAAACAATTATTTTTCTACTTATTATGTACTATATATTTATATATGCTTCGCAAAACTTTTATTATATTAATAACTTACCTAAATAAATATTATTTTTTAAATATAATGAAACATAAATCTATGTAATAATTTTCATATATTAAATTTTAACGTGTTAATTCTATTTACAACATTTATTGTTTTATTTTTCCATTTAAAATAATAAAGAAAGAAAAGGTATTCTGGATGGAAGTTATAGGGTTTAGAAATGATGACAAATCTAGCAAGTACAATAATATATCTAATAATTATATTAATAATATCTAAGCTGGAAATTTTTAAAGAGCATTATTTAAGTCTCACATCTATACTTTCGCATATAGGAAATAAAGCTAAAAATAATATTTAAGAAGAAATAAAATAAATATTTATATTAAGTTTGAAAAATTATACATACTTCTATTGAATATATATATAGTAAATTATATGTTAGATATAATTTTTGAATAAATAAAAACTACTATATAATTAGATGTAATATGCATTATTTATTACGTGTATTTATTATATATGTTAATTCATTTCGCAAGAAAACGCTTTTATGCTAAGCAAATGATAATTTGATTCAAGATTTCAAATGTAATTCTCAATTTCTGATTAAATATTTTCTACTTTATTCTTTTTTATAAATTTTTCATAATGTAAGTTGTAAAAGATGCTCATTTTTCATTGGCTACTTATGGATTTGTAGTGTTCTTTATATTTCACTTATTATATCTCCGTTTAACAATGTCATACCGAATATAAATATAAATGAAGAGATACAATGTATTATAGTTATATTTCATAAAATTTTTATTTAGTCTAGTATTTAATTTAATCTAGTATTTGTATTTTACAGCTAATTATATTTGATTATAATAATAATGTTTTTGAACACGTTTAGACTATGTTTATAACCTTCATTTTTAGTCGATTCATTAGTGTTCTATTTACAATTTTAAGTGACAATAATTTATAATACTACATATGATTTTAATAAATTGTAAGAAATATTTGTTGAGTTAATATTTCAATATGTCGAGAAAATAATGGTACTATAATATTTCCAAATATTAAAAATATATTTTTATGTATATTTAAAAACTATATTATTCTTTTAAACGTAAAAAGTAAACCTTAGATTTCTTTTCATACATTAAAATAAAATTTGAATAAATTGATAGTTTCATGATTATGAAATTTAGTATATTGCACTAGTGTATTTATAATAGTTATAAATTATTTTAAAAATATATTAATGAATAAAAGCAATATACATTGATTGACCTTATACAAGCATTAAACATGTTCAGATTACTAATTCATATTATACATAATAAAGCAAATTTTATTATTTATTATTTTCTAGGATAAGAATTTTTGTGTTTCCAAAATATTTTTTAAACTTTGTATATATTAAAAAATTAGTAATATTTATAATTGGTTATAATTTCGCATTGGCAAAGTAACTGGAATTTAAAATTAAATAAAAAAATATACACAAACAATAAATTGATTAAATTTAATGTAATACTTTACATCGGTATAGTTAACCAATGAAATGTGATAACTATAGATAATGAACTATGGTAATGAAAACAAAAATTTCCTGTAATAAAATTTTTTAATTTTAAAGAATAGTTGTAAATTTTATTTTCATATAACCAAAAATTCTAGAATTATTAGATTACATTTACCAGAATTACAACATAAATTTATATAAATGGGAATAAGATAGTCCAAATTTTTGGTTTAATTTTGCCTTCTATGCATTAATTCTATTCATACCATAGAAGTAATTTTTTTTTTATAGGTCTATGTTAACATATTTTTCGTTTTTTTTTAGTTCACATAGTTTTCTTGAATTAAAATACAATTACATTAAAATAGCAGAATTTTTTTTTAAATTATATTTTTGTATTATAACGATTCATATCTTCCAAAAATTCAAATAAGTTACAAAATAAGAATTTAAGTATTGCAAATATACAATAGGAAAAATACAAAATAAATTTAATATTGGTAATACACAGATGAACTGTATATTTTTAAAGCTGCAAAATTATCAATGATATAAAAAATTCATTTTTTTGTATTAATTCTACGTTTAACTTTACATTTTTAAAGTATAATAAAAAATTTTAATAAATAAAATTACGATAAAATATTTATTAATCTGAAATAAATATTTCTCCAAGAAACAATATGCAACAATTAGTACAAGATTCTGTTAAATACCATATTCAAATAGTACAGATTTACATCTGCCAGCAACTGAAATTACTATCGCGCATGCTTCAAATGTACTTGTATCATTCTGCTTTAAGCTATTTCTGTAGCAACCTACGTTTACTCTAATAAAATTTTTAGTCTATGATAAAAAAATTAAATTAAATTTTGTTGGTTGGAATTGAATAACCTGATTAATTTTAGTATTGAGTTTTTTTTTCAATTTGTTAATTATTTTATAAATTCAGCCATTTTATTTGATAGTAATATACGTTATGGCTGTGCGTGTGCAGTTCGAAAATAATAATGAAATTGGAGTATTTTCCAAATTAACAAATTCTTACTGTCTAGTAGCAATAGGTGGTTCCGAAAATTTTTATAGGTACTATTTTTAATTTAAATATTTTTTAATAATGTATGCAAGTATAAAATATATTTTTCTTTTATAGATACAAATTTATTATGTTTCTTTTTCTTAAAATACTATTTGTTAAATTGTTTATATTCTTTCATATTTATTTAATTATATATACATAGTTACATTAATGTTTTTCTTTAGATATCAACCTATTATATAAAAAAATTAATAGAAATTATTTTATTGATAGAAATGTTTACATTTTTCATTGATTTAATTTTACAAATTACAACTATTTATTTATATTAACGATTGAACTTTATAATCGATTTAAATAAAGTTTTAATTAGTATTTATTAAATTATAATTATATACAAATGTTAGTTTTAAATAAAATCAGTTTTAAATATTAAAACTTCTTAATCGCGATTGAATATAAAATTTATATATACACAACTTGATTTTGATATATTATCTATAACTATGAATTTTTATGCTGATTAAAATATATATATGAATTAGTTTAATATAACTAATTATTATCATTTTATTATTATACTATTATTATATTATTTATTAAAATAATTCTTTTTAATATATTTTTAATATTGAACAATTTTGAGTATCATTTCAATAGCTTTAAAAATTATATGTAATAGATATCTATAATGAATAAAATAAACTGATCCAAATAAAATATATTTTTTTAAATACAAAGAATATTTTATATGCTAATTTGTGATATTTAAATAAGTACAGTTATTAATTTACTTTATATTTAACATTCCAAAAACTTTAACTATAAACTTTTAAACAAATATAAGTAAATGTATTCAGATTTTAAAATCTTTTCATAAACATTTATATTTTTCAACCTTCATATTTCAACTATTATTAAGAGTTTTAAATGCGCTTGTAAAATTAAAAAATTTGTAATTACTAGAATATGAAAGTGTTGATGGTACTGGATTGGGGTATAAAGGCTAGCATTTATCTAGTAATATCGTGTTCTAATATTACTAGATTTACTTATGAACTTTTCTTGAATTTACTTTTATTATGAATTTATACAAGACATTCTTTAATCTAAAAATTACATAATTTATATAATTCAATGTTATTTTAAATAAATTGGTGAATGTATTTATATATTGACTAGATAAATATTGATATTAAAATTAATTTAAATATTGATTAGTTATTATATTCAAATAAAATTAATTTTTCAGTTCGATTTTTTTTTGTGTGTGTAAACAAAAAGTAAATTTAATTTAAATCATTAAATCTTGACGAAAAGTATAATTGTTTTTGTTTAAGATTGTAAAATTATCATTTTAATATCACTAAAAACTTAATTTTTATATGAAAATATTATTTTCAATTATATAAAAATATAAATATATTTTACCCATTTAAAAAATTGTCAATTATGTAGATCAAATTATGAATAGATACAAAAATATTAAATAAAACTCTGTTCATTTTTTTAATGTAATATAATATAATCTATTGTCAACCTTAAATTCATTAAATAGAAATAAGGCCAAAAAGCAAAAAAGTGTTTAATTAATGTATAATTTTTAGACCCCGTTAGGATTAGAGTACAATAGGGATAACAATTCATTTCTTCTAATCTGAATTTACATGCATTGCTAATACAGCATTAATATGTTCAGAATTTAACATTTCGTATTGAACATTATATACTTATACATGTTTTACCATTAAAATTGTACATAAGACAAAAAGAATTAGATTATACATACATACAAAATTTGAAAATTTTGCATTAATAAAATTTGTGGAATATAATGTAAGTCTTAATCATATCACTTCAGAAATCTATATTATGTAGATTACAAAGTTTATTCATAATCTCAACTTATCCTAAATAAATTTATAAAAATATCAACGAATATAAATATTCAACCATTTCAAATTTTTGTACAAGTCAGTAAATATATATTTGATCACTTCATTGATTGTATTCCTACTTGTGTACAAGTTAACTGCCGAAAAAATATTTTATTGAAAAATAGATGCCCTATTCATTTAACTTCGAGCATGTTTAAGATTAGACTAAAAAACTCCCAGTGATGTTTGGTGGGAGAATTGCTGGCAAGAGGAAGAGAATGGCGCATTTATTCAATATTTAGGAAATAGCGTATCTTGGTATTTTTTTTTCTTTATTTACAAACTACACAATAAAGATGATTCTAAGATGGTGTTGAGATTCTGTAAGATTTTCGTTCCTTAGTGGTTTCACATGGAGATAGCGTACACTACAAGTCAAGGTTGAAGGTTGTAAAGTTCCGGGTCCTCTTGGTGGAAATTACTACACTGAGAAATGCATGGGCGTAAATTCTTGACACTCCTTGTATAGTGCCACGTATGACCCTTAATCCGGAGTAATCCGATCGGTACGTCTTAGTGCTTGAATCCAGGGAACAGGCCCGTATACAGCGACGTTTAATACAAAAATTCAAGTTTCAATTTCGACTTTCAATTCCGATCAGACTTACAGTTCCGATCATAGTGACGTCGTAGTGCTTGAATTTAGAGAACAGATCCGAATACAGCGATGTTTAATACAGAAATTATGTTTTACCAACTTGCGTGTTGAGTGCGTATGTGGTCCGCTTCTTATTTAATATTCACTCTTGGAATACTACCAACACTCTTGACTACTTAACTGTGGTACACTTAAATTAGTTATAAATTATTTGGCTTCACTGTTGGCTTACGATTTTATTCTTGCTGAATCTGGTTGAAGTATGTGTGTATATTAGTAAAACTGACTGACTGACTGGTATACGGCTGAGTTTCGTGAGCAATAACTGATGAGTGAATGGTTGGTAAAAATACAGTGAGCACACAAGCGTTATGAGCTGCTCTTAAATATTCGCGTGGCAGTTTATAATGCTAGCAACAATGCATGCCCTTGTTGCTAGGCCGAAAGTTTTGATGATGTCAGAAACTAAGCTCTAGAATATTCGATAAGTGCAGAAGGACACTGCCTTGGAAGGTTCGAGAATTTTCAATCGACGTTGCTATGCGGAAATATTGTAGGACACTAGAAAATAAGGCGTACACTATTCGAGAATTAGCAGAATCAATGTTTACGGGAATTGTTCCAATCTCGAACAGATCATTATATAGTGAAAAGAATTCATTTAAAATGGTAAAATGGGAGATTTATAATTATGTTTTTATTTCGAAACAAATTTGAAGCTATTATAGGAGATACAGCTTCAATTTTATTAAAAATTCTATTCAAAAGGTACATATAAGGGTTCTTTCAACACCCTTCAGAACAATTTTATATTATTTTAAGATACCATTTTTATTCTGCGCATTCTCAACGTCGATATTTTAAATTAAATTATGATATTATAAAATGTTTGACATTTTTCTATTTTTTATTGAGATTTATGATATATGAAACGATTCTTTGGCATCGAACCAACTTCTTTCTAAATAACATATACTTTATATTCACATATTATACAATCTGCAAGCTTTTTCAATTCTCAATTTAGCAAGTATACTTGCGAATATGTGAAAAATAAAAAGATTAAAGTATATCTCAAAAACCTTTAGGAAATAGTGAATTTGTATTAATAAATTTATTGGAATTGTACGAATACCGTTAAACAAACTTTCGAAAATGGTAATTTTTAAGTTAATTGGGATTAAGATAATTAAAAAAATATGAATGGTCTAAATTTATTTGAAGTTAGTTTGTAATATAAGTAGATTTAAAAATCATTAACTAAAAATATAATTAAAGTTTGTTGTTGCTGAATTGAAGTTAAACGTATTATATTCCTCTTAAAATCATAGAAACATATCGATTATACCTCAAATAAATCCTAAGAAATAAAAAAAAATTATGTGTTTATTGCTTTATTTTTTCTACAGCAATCAAACTATACATTTGGAATTGGTATATGGTTATACATTTACAAGTAATATTTTACCTTTTTATATTTTTAAATATGTTTCGTAAAATAATCTACAATCCTAATACAATAACGGTACAAATTTGATATAATCTGAGTGATAAGTGCTTAAATTCTTCTCATCTATTTTACCTTTAAATAAGAAATTTCCTTTTAAAGAAAGGTAGAGAAGTTTTATATTCCAATACAGACTTTTTATTAATAATTGTTGATATCTTATTTATGATGCAGAGTTTTGTATTATATTTTAACAGATTATAATCTTAATCATTTCATAGACATTAATTTCTTTGTAAACATAATCAATATGATGAATAATGACATTTTACTTACGAATTAAAAGAAGGCAATCTATTATTATTATTATTTAAATGTAAGGATAGATTATTTAGTATAGTATGAATAATAATGATTAATTATTATAATTATTCATTTATTTATTTGATTAATTCTATTATAACAGACAATCGGATTCAAATTCCTTTTTGAATTTATTTAATGCGTTTACTTATTAAACCTTATTTTATAACTACAGCTTAATAATTTTATATAATTGTTTATATTATGTATTTTTTAAAATAAATATATTTTCTAATTTTATAAAGTATTAAGTTTATTGATTTTGAACGCTGTACCATCTGGAATAAATTAGCTGTATTTGAATAATTTTCAATTAAATTAAATAAAATTAAACAAAATTACAAACAAAAAGATGAAAATATGAAATAAAAATGAACAATAATATAATTTTCTTTATCTATTATTATTATAGTGTCTTTGAAGGAGAATTAGCTGACTCTGTACCAGTCATTCACACATCTATAGCTGGTTGCCGAATTATAGGTCGCTTGTGCGTGGGTATGGAATGTATTACAACATTATTAAAACTTAAGTATTATTTCAAAGTTGTCATTAAAAATATTAAACAGAAAGTTATAATCTATAAATTATAACTTTCTATTTATATTATATAAACATTATTATGAAAAAAATTATATTATTTATGTATACAATATTTTATTTGTATTAATAACCATTTTTTGTTATTAAATATATCTACTTATTACAATTCAATGTCTTCGAACAATTCAATGAATTCAATTCAATTGTAATTTGATTCTTTGAAAATTATGTTTTCATTATACATAATATATAATTAATTTGTATAAATTATCAATATGCATAAGCATTTTCATATTAAAATTTTTTATGAAAAATATTAAAAAATTGTATTCATATCTTTGCAATCTAAACTAAAAACTAATTAATTTTATAATCATAATTATAGATGTTAATTATGTTTAAATAGTCTTGCTATTAATTAAGCTCTGGGTTTTTTTTTAACATTATTAAAACTTAAGTATTATTTCAAAGTTATCATTAAAAATATTAAACAGAAAGTTATAATCTATAAATTATAACTTTCTATTTATATTATATAAACATTATTATGAAAAAAATTTTATTATTTGTACTTGTTCGGGATTGATGCAGTTCCATGAATTTCAGAAAAAATAGGTCATACGCGCACTCGGGCGAATGTTTATAAACAAAACTCGACAAGTCCGAGCAAGTTTTACGATCTGAAATCTAATATACCATCAGATCTCACAAAGGAAGAACACCGACGAAACTTCTAGAAGCTTCGTTTTCTGACGCCACAAGGAATTTTCTGGAAAAGACTCGCCGCGGCACTGTTGCTGGCGTTGCATCCGCTGCATGCATATTTAAGTGCAGCTCGCCATGTGGCGACGCTCATTGTAATATTACTTCGCGCTCACTCAAGTGTCATTGCCGATCAGTGTTTTAGTATACTGTGACGACGACACGTGGCCATATATTCGGCAGCATAGTTAAGAATACACGCGCGCATAAGAATAAGAAATCGGAAGATTAAATAGTGATTACAGTGAAGCCAATGGAATAGTAATCAAGGGGTCATTAATTACGCAGCAATCACCACACCTTGCCAGCAGTTTACAAGGTACATCCTTTTATATTAATAAATTAATTAGTCACACCTCGTACAAATATAAGTCAGGCAAACTCAGGCTCTGTCAAAGAACACTTCGAAACCGTACAGGTCCATAAGAGTCGATAGGGCAAACTTACGCTCTTTCGAAGAACACTTCGGAAGCATACAGGCCCGCTAGCAGAAATAGGGCACACTTATGCTCTCTCGAACTAACACTTCGACATCGTACAGGCCCTCAACAGCTGACACAAGTGTCGCTATGCTTTAAGCACATTGTCAAAGAAGGACAACAACAGATCGACTAATAGACTATAAATACAGATTATTACATCCTTCAAGAGTTAGAAATCTTACCATTAACCACTCTTACCTGTGACTAGATTATTCTACTGTCCCCATAAATAATTAAAGACATAATTGATTACTTAATAAATTCCATTAAACATCTTACACCATATCAAGTATAGTTATTCATACATCAAGCATACTTGATTCAAACACCATCTTCTCATGCTACCTCACAAGCATGATTGATTGACTACACCAGCTGATATTTACTACATCAGCATTACCTCAACTTCAAATACTCAGTCATATCCATAGAGTCTTCAATAATCAAGAATACAAGAGCACACTCTCATTATCTCAATAGAATAATCTTTCTCTACGCAACATACAATATTAATTATAATTATTTACAAATAATAAACATTGTTTTACTAAATACATGATATTTTTCAGCCTTGTCAATTATTATTTCCTTTAAAGTTATCCTGTCGAGAGACTAATCCACTGAACTATTGAATTGGTACTTCGATCCATAAACTAAACCTTTAAAATCGAACAATACTTGAACAATTACATTAATAAAAAAGGCATGTTCTTTAAATTAAATTTATGTGAATATGGTATTGTTTCAAAATGATTGAATAATCTTTTATCTATAAATGAATTATTAAAAAACGTATATTATTGTACAAGAAAACAGCTTAAAAATCTTTATTCATATAATAAAAAATGGTCTTTTTTAATTATAACGATTCAAGACTTGTAGATATTGTATAATGTTTTTAAATAAGGCTGAATATGATGTATTTTCATACTTCGATATATTCCTTACATTTCTCCTTTGTAATCACACAAAGTACAAAACTTTAGAATGTGTTAAATGCTATTGAATACAGCAAACCCTACCCAAACTGGAACTGATTTTAAGATCCTAATAACTTAATGAGGGACATGCGTAATATTGTTCAGTTAATTAAAGTTTTAGATTATAAAATATTTCAGATATAAACTTATTTAAATATTTATAGGTAACAAAAATGGATTACTTGTACCGAATACTACTACAGACACCGAATTACAGCATATTAAAAATTCTATTCCTGACAATGTTAAGATTCATCGAATTGAAGAAAGACTATCAGCATTAGGAAATGTAATTGCTTGTAACGACTATGTGGCTTTGGTGCATCCTGATTTGGATCGAGTGAGATGGATATTCTTAATATTTTATTTTAATAATTTAAACAGAAATTTGGTAACAAATTTGATTATATATGTTTTGTTTGATAATTATATATAAATTTGATGTTATTTATTATATTACTGTATTATATGACTGTATTATTACATATCTCAATTTTTGGTATTAATGGTAAATTTACCACGTAAACTATTAAATTAATATAACATAATATTTTAATATTAATGTTCTAAAATATTGTTGACAATTCGGTATACGGAATCATTGAGAGAATACATTAATAAAACGATTAAAATATTTTTGAGGTGTAGAATGGCTAGATGAAATTACCTTATAGCAAAAACCAAACAACTTATTTGTAATTGTAGTTATTTACTTGTATTTGCTGAATTTTACATCCTAACAAATTTACAATGACTTATTTCCTTTTTAATTCATGACAAAAATTCAAAAGCATTAGTATTTTTGTCGCAAAATTTTATTCTTTTATAATCACTAAAGCAAGAATATGTAACGAATTTAAACTTAATATCGTAATTTTTTATAAATTTTTATAATGGTTCAATGATTCAATTATAAAAATATATTTTATAGATTTTTATATACAATAAATATGATTAATATTTGATTATGAAAGAAGTTGTTTTGATGATAATTAAGCACTTGATGAATATTTCAAAATCAATTAACACGTCAATTACAAACTTACTGCCAATCTTATGAACGATGTTTTATTATGAATATGCTATTTATAGATAATTATTTTTTATGTAGGTAATATACACAAATTTTTATGGTAGATGTATCATACAAATTATAAGTTATGCATCCTATTTAGTGAATAAAAGAAATAATTAACGTCATAAAAAATGTAGTGTAAAAATGAACGATAGATGTTTCTAATATATTTTAATTTTTATTTTTGAAGTAATTATATGCATCAGAAAAGTTATGCGTACAATTAAAAGAAGTTAAATTAATTTTACTTAAAACTAAATACATATACGTAAAACCCAAATTAATCGAGCTATTCATATTATATCGTATACATATTATAAAATTATATTGATATTTTAGAAGATTAAAATAGATATATTTTTAGTCGAGCAATACTCTTGATAGTTTTATTTGTGAAAAGAATTTCGACCCAAAGGTGAAATATCCTAAAAAACTTTAAAAACTCTGTTCGCCTATAAAACTATGTCAACATTTCACGCTGAATTGTATTATATATCATGAAAAGTGGCCAAGCTATCTGTTCGGAAAATAATCCCACAATTTGACTAGTCAGTCAAAACGTGCAATAATTAACGTAGAACAATAAAACCCACTAGATGTTATGTGGGGTTGCCGGGAAAGTAAAAGGTGAATGCACTGATTAATAATTAACACATGTCTTTATTATTTCTATTTATTTGAATTGATTTACAAAAGGGTGAATTACAGACGAACTTTATATTTCTTGATAATCTTGTGGTGTTGAAATATATTTACGATGAATGAAGCAGGTTATAATCTATTGAATATTATCGCTAAGAGGTTATCATGATTGTAGTGCTCTGATCGAACACTGGAATGCCATTGTGTTTATCTTAACACGTGTGTAGTTGCCTTTAAATATCGGTCGTAAGAGAGCCGAGATGGAGGTTATGCGAAGCTGT